TTAAAGCTCCATGTCCAAATGCCCCCCCCCATTTTTGCTCAAGCTTTCCCCACAAAAACCCACTCTTTAGAGATCAATTGGAGCAAATGGCAATCCACTTAAAACTTGAATTGGCATTGCTCTGATTGAGCACTAAATAGCAAGTTTTCGCAGGGAAAGCTCTGGGGCAAAATTAAAAATAATGTATGCTTTGACACAGAGTTCTTAACCGCAGGCCTGTGTCCAGAAAGTGTGTGGCAAAAGCTACGTGCAGACAAGCCCTAAAAGACTCTTGATGGCCCCTGATTTTAGTAAAAAATATCTCTGAAATCCACAAAATGGATCTGAAGTGTTCAAAACCAAGAAGGGCTTTTCTTTTGCCAAACAGGCAGATCATCACATTTAAATGTAAAATACCTCAAATACCTCACCTCGCAAGTTGGAAACCCGAGCATTTTCTCTATCTTTTGCGCCCATAATGTGGTTTACAATATCTGCTTCTGTCAGCTAAAACAAACTATTTAGGTCCCAAAGGGAAGTGAAGGAAGCACTTGCTAGCTCTACAAGACCAGTGCTTCAAGTGAAATGCCCCTCCTTTCATTCTTTCATTGAGCACATAGTCGCTAAATTGCCCAGCAGTCATTAAATGCCATTGCTGTTTTTTTTCTTTACTCCAAAGTTGTCAATAGTCTATGAAAACACAGTTCCTTAAATCGTATACTGTACAGAGGTATGTGCTTACTCCTCTGCCATCTATTTGAGATGGAGACTGCATGTGTATACAACAACCTACAGCCCCAGTAAAATACAGCAAAGTCTACATAGATTTAAAGGACATGAAGGGAAGGACCCCGTCCTTTGCCCAGAACAACTCTGGAAAGTATTCACATTACTCACTGAAATTCCAGAAACAGTAGGAACTGTGGTGCTCTCCAAAGAGAGGCTGGGCATAGCAGAATTCCACACTTAGCATCACGACACCTATCTAACTCACATTTCTCTTCTGACTAAGGATTTGCAGATCCATTCCAGTCCTTATCAAATCCGTTTACACACACCAAACATTTGACCATGGCAAGGCTTTGAACTCCATTCGCTGAGCACCCAAAAAGAATCTGGCAGCAAATCAAAAGCATTTCTTGTTTAGAAGAAACTAAACAAGCGTTCCGCTGATTCACACACAGAACAGATGAAGCAAATCCTACCTTATCCCTTGCAGAAGAGCCACATTGTAGTAGTGCTGCACGGTTTGGGGGAAGGCAGCAACCCTGACTTTCCCTTTTGTTTCCATGGCAAGAGAATTAAAAAAAGAACGCTATAACACACTGCCAAGCAGAATGACAACTCAAAAAGCCACATCAATAAGGTAAGGAGGAAGGGAGGGGAGGAGAAGAAAGGGAGGGGGCTAATGGGGGCCACACGGACAGACAACAGCACCTGACACTACACTGTGGTATGCACTGATAAGTTGCCTGGAGAGTTTGGCTTTTTCAAGCTGTCACATGCTCACAGTTGCTTAAAGACATGAAAATGACAAAGTAAGAAGGTTCCCTGGTGGATTTATTCACCAGAGGAAAAGAAGTCCCTTTGGCATGGCTGTATCTCCAGGCAATATCCAGTTCAGTTGAGAGGGGCTCTGAAATCAAGTAAATACCTCTGCTAAGAGATAAATTGTTTTCAGAGCCTAATAGTAGTAGTAGTAGTAGTAGTAGTAGTAGTAATAATATAGCCCCAAAGAACCATGAAGATAGGCATTTCCTATTTCCACTCCAGATATGTTTTGCTTTTAACAGCTAATTATACTTCTGAAGAAATTACGCAAAAGTCGTTCTCCATTACTTAACAAAAAACTACATAAACAGAACAAAATGGAGAGCCGGGAGAGGAGTGGCATATTAAAATGGAAAATGACAGTTTCAGTGTTGAAACATTAACTGTTCTGATAGAAACACTGCTTGTAAAAAAACAAACAAGAAGACTCAAAAGAACAGCAACCGTATGAATTTACATAACCTGAAATGCTTTTGTGGTTAACCACTAGCAACTATATAAAAATCAGAATACATAATGAGACAGAGCAAAATGGGAATATTCAGTATAGGTCTGATTTATGAGCACCATCAATAAGAGAACACACGTTTTACTAAAGCTCCATACAAGAAACAGGGCTGTATCTAGGACAGTGGTTCCCAATGGGTGGTCCACAGACCCCAAGGGGTCCTCATAACCCACTCAGGGTATTCGTGGCACATACCGGTCAACTGTCCAGGGAATTCCATTGGGGGGGACGTGCTCTCATGTGAGAGCACGGTGTTCAAAAGCTTGAGAGATCATGGCCAGATACAAATCTCATGCGAGATCGCCACACCCCAAAACACATGCGTGGGTCACATGACTTGCACAGGAGCACAGCCCGGAAGACACGCGTCCTGGTTTTTGCACTGGGACATATTGGAGAGTATGTGGCACCATTCATATAACAAAAATTACTATAGAGATATCAACATTTTTGAAAGTAGGGGGGGTCCATGGCTTGGCTTTTGAAAAACAGGGGGGTCCACATTACTTAGCTAATTGGGAACCACTGATTTAGGAAATTCTCTCTCTCTTTGACACACACACACCACTTCTTCTCCTTCCTTATATTTTTGCTCCCTCCAGTTCAATCCAGACAAGTAGGAAAAAACACTGGTGAGTAATTCTTCTGCCCTGGGAGGAAGCCTTCAGCTTACAGTGTAGGGATACTGTCATATCTAGTGTTGTTTTTGATGTCCCAAGAGGCTTCTGCTATCATGAAGTTCCTCTCACCAGCTGTGTTGGATTTGTCAGTTACAGCCCTTCTGAGACAAGGAATAGCTTGGCCACAATCATCCATTCCCTGGTTACACCCAGTTCGGATTCGTATAATGCACTGGAAGCTTCCCAAAGGTATATGATTGGCCACTGCTGGAAGCAGAGTCCTGGGACAGATGGATCTTGGTGTCATAGCTCTGGAGTCCAGCAGTGACCAATACACAGGCTAAGGAGCCAGACTGGGTTCCTGGCTCTAATGCTAGTGTTAAGGGGATCACTGAAGTAGCAGCTGACAGGTAGGAGCCACAGAACTAGATGTCACAGCACCAGGGCCCAGGATACTGCAGCAAGGTTCTTCATGGGCACCTTCCCCTGATGAACTGTGCACCTTCCATACTAACTTGCCAGTCCAACAGGGCAAGGAGTTAACCAGGCAGAGGAAGTGCCTATCTTCAGACCAGAGTGTTGACCCTAGTCCTCCGAAAGGGGGCAGAAAATAGAAGCGATAAGACTGGAAGTAAAAGCTGAAAAGCAGAGCTAGATGCTCACCAAGAGCTCTAGCTCCTTCGTGCTACAACAACCGACTTGCCTTGCTCCATGGGCTCCTCTTGCAGAACCAGAACAGAACACTTGGCCTGATCTAGGGAACTATGCCATTGGGGTTCAATACCGACAAACTGGCTGTTGCCCTTCACCTTCTATGTCTAACAAGAAGCAGTAGCATGCTCCAGATCTCCTAAACATATGTTTAACTAAAGTTCCTGTCTTATGGATAAGGAATCGTACTGGCTGAGGTTACAAATCCTAGAAACAATTCAGCCAAGGATACTCACTTCTCATTCCCTTTCAAATGTGATTTAAGAACACTTAACTTTGATGGCATTGTGCTCATTGTAATGACATAGTGAGGGCACCAAGTCAGCACTTCTATAACAACAGTAAGGGTAAAAAGACAGCACAAAACTTCTCTAGATAGCTAAACCTTTACCTAGCACCTAATGAAATCCATTTAACCCCCCCAAATGCCAATGCCAAGCTACATGTGGCATCTTCTGTCACATTCTGTCTGTCAATCAATAATGAACCAAGAAGTTTCACTGTGACCATCTCATTACTCCATAATAATTCTAGTTTTGTTTGGGAAAACATAAGTGCATTCTTTGTGCATCTGCTAATATGGGCAATATTTGGCTTCCCTTAAGAAACACAATTCTGAGTGTGCCCTCACCTCGCCTGTGACTCGTCTTTTGAAAAAGAAAGGATTTTCAGTGATATCCCACTTTGTCACTGTTGAAATTGCTCGTCTCACTACAAATGTGCAGATCTGAGATGGCACAATAATTAATACAGGTTCAAAATTACTGGACTAGTATTTTTATTGTGGTGGCATTTCAGATGGTGGTTTTCTAACAAGGATTACTTGACTGGAGGGGATGGAGGTCCTTTTACAGGAGTTAAAACATCTTTTCCCAAGAGGGCTAACATTTGCACTAATAATTCCCTGCTCTCCCTGCACCTGCCACTTGTCATCTCTTACACAGCAAAGAGGAGACTGTAAGGAAGCAGAGGCAAACATCACTCTCACTCTGTACTTGACAGATGGTATCCGCGAGGGAGAGCTTTGATAAATCATTCATTTCCATGATTACAATAAGGGCTAGAGTATGGATTATTTGATATTTTTAACATCTGTGGAGAAGGCAGCAAAACTTCACCCTTCTGTTTAAGGAGAAACACGGGCTTGCTAACCCCTATGCCCTCACACCACTTAATCACACACTAAGGAGATCTACTGAGAGCCATGCTACTAGTTGACTGTCACATCATAAAATCATTCTGTTCTCTTCCGAGGACTGGGAAACCAGGAATATGGCTGCTCAAGGATTGTGTATTTTAAAAGCTATGTGTTAATCTGATGAGTTCCTTATCAGTGTTACTGGGCAGATTAGGTATGCAACCTCTGTATAAAAGAGCTCTGATTATGGTGTGGGTAGTGGGTGGTTATCAGGAAGGAGTGGACTGCCATGGAACAGTGGAGTTATCTGAACACTTTGAGAAGAGCTCATTTGAGAAGAAGACTTGGAGAATTGCCAGACTTCAGGACTCAAAAAACTTTACGCCAGTGGTTCTCAATCAGCTCAGTACTGCAATCTCCCCGTTTTTTCAAAAGCCAAGCCACAGACCCCCTTACTTTTGAAAATTATGATATCTCTATGGTAGTTTTTGTTATGTTAGTGGTGCCACGGACCCCCAGGTGGTTTATGTGGACCCCATGGGCTACGCTGACCACGAGTTGGCAACCACTGCTCTAAGCTGTTGCAGGACTTTGTGCAAATTGACTCAGAACTTGTGTGCGGATTTTGTTCAGCAAGGGCTCTGAAGTACAGAAACCCCTCTGGGAGCAGAGGGAGAAAAGTCTTCGTGCGACCTATATAAAGTGTGTGTTTTGTGTATGCCAAGCAAAACAACTCCGCTTAAAGCAACAGTTTCGTGTTGGCGAGCTTGACCACTTTACTGAAGCTTCTGTGGTGCATACACGGAGAGCAATATTTATAGGTTGAAGATAAACACGCCCCCCCCAACAATAAGATACATGGAAGTGCTGAATGGGAAGGTGGAAAGCCACACAAGTCTGATCCAGAAGTTCAGTAAGGATGGGTCACCAAGCGTGCAGCCATCCTGAAGTAGCTGACTAGCCAGGAAAACTATTCAGCACAGCAATGCACAACTTTTAATCTAACCCCAAAATGCAATAAAAGTATAAATTAATGATAAGATCCTTATTTAAACAGAATCTTCTTAGCAGCAGAGATACCCACAGATCATCTAAGTGAGGAACTATAATACAACAATGTTCATAGATGTGCTTGGTGGAGTTTTTATATGTTAAGACGTTCTGTTTAGATGTACTACTGGCAATTCAAGAAACATTTCCACAGTTTAAAATATCCAGGGCAAAACATGGCTTTTCTAAGCTGCACTATGTATTTAAATGAAAACATAACACCGAAGACTACAAATCCCGATATAAAAATTATTTCTTATACATTCCAATAAAAGAGATGGTCAATGATTTGCAGTCGGTAAGTAAAAATCTAAAACCCAGGCAGAACATTTACCACCATGAATCAATCAGCATATGCCATACTTAGATGAGAATTGTGGTCCAACAACATCTGGAAGCAGCCACATAGGCTACCACTGATCTAAATCTAGAGGGCTCCATAGTACAGTGGTACCTCGGGTTAAGTACTTAATTCGTTCCGGAGGTCCGTTCTTAACCTGAAACTGTTCTTAACCTGAAGCACCACTTTAGCTAATGGGGCCTCCTGCTGCTGCCGCGCCGCCTGAGCAAGATTTCTGTTCTCATCCTGAAGCAAAGTTCTTAACCTGAAGCACTATTTCTGGGTTAGCTGAGTCTGTAACCTGAAGCGTATGTAACCCGAGGTACCACTGTATGCCTTGGTAGAATTACATCAAAGAAAGCAACAAAAATGTCAGACTTTGAATGGCACTGCAACAGTTCTCATGAAGTGTGGGAAATGAACGTTTAATGCTTTTATTCCGAAGATGAAATGTGTCAACACTGATTTTCTTCTGTGATGTGAAAAAGAATGCATAGTTACTGGCATTTGCTTGTCAATTTCTCTCAACTCGGTTACAGCAGAACAATTTTCAACAATGAGTGAGTGACAAACCAAAAGGGAAGTTTGGCACTAAACTGGCTTGTTCCAAGGACCTCCAAGGAGTCCCCACTCGCCACTGAAAAACAGCTGAGATTTGCCATAGGTAAGGCACAGGATCAGCAGCCTGGGTTGATTAAACTTGCGTAGAACTAACCCATAGCTTTGAGATAACCCAGACATACTTAGAAACAGCAGCAGTGTAAACAGGAACCACTGAATTCTCACCAACAGAAAGCTAAAATGAGCATACACACTAAATTCAATACTAATGGCAGATACCTGCCCAGGACCTCCACTGTACAGGCCTGTTTTGACTCTACTGTCATTATCACGAGAGAGACAACCAATTTCAGGTGTTCTTCAGCTTCTATAAATCTAGCTGCCAAACTGGAGATGAGAAACAGACAAGGTTCTTTCCATTATCTGAAACTCATCTGTTCAAAAGCTCTGCCATCAGTCAGCATTTGTTTACTGTGTGGAGCACCTGATAAGAAACAGATCTGTGGGATTTGTACCTCCTCATACTTTTGAGCATCAATCAGACCTGAATTTCCACTTTGCAATGATTTGACAGAAACCTGAGTGCAACAGGTGCTTTGTGGTATCTGATTGCACATGTATTACTCTCTGTGTGGCCCAAAGTCTTTAACCCAATTCCATTATGGTACAAAACGGCCTTTAGAAAAGTACAGGATTCCTAAATATTTAATCCTGATAACAGGCTACAACTGACACCTGATAGAAAAGTATATATAGATGCAAAAGACAACTAGTCCTAGACCTTTTACACTTCTTGTCTACATGATTTAAGCATATAGTTATTAAAAAAAAATTGATACCCTACATTTTGCACCCACCAAAGCAGCTTACAATCAGATAATATAAACATATTAGAAACGACAAACATTTTTTTAAAGGTCTAAACCTTTAAAAAAGATTCCTTCCCCCAACCCTAAGGATTAATAATAATAATCATAATAATAATCAGTCCTCAGAGAAACATTGCATCTGCATTCATGCTAAGCATCAGGATGTGTTGTGTTTGAGGTTGGCAATATGATGACAGTGGTGGCAATATCACATAGGGAAGTGGAATGGCTCTAAAGTTTTTCCTTTCTCTAATCTTGTACAAAGTTCTGTGCTGTTTCTAAGCTCTTGAGAATTATTAGACTGGGTGTGTTATAACGTATTAAGTAGCATATTAGTGATAGCATATCATAAGCTGCCTTTGACATTACGTGGACATGCCAAAGTAGCGTTGCTGCATCCACCTTAAATGAACTACTGAGTGTTTTATCTCCTAGTATTTGTATCCTCCTTCGGACGCACATGTATGCAATCACAATCTGTCAAGCAGACACTCTGTTAAGCCTGTGGTGAGGGTGACAGAAAACCAGCTGTGTTCACTGCTACTTTCTGCAGAGAGAATAATCACATACATAGCAGAGGAGCAATAGGTGTACAACCCAGAAGATTTAAACTATGGCAAAATCTTTTTCAATTATTTTGTAACTAGACATTGATATTAAGCCATGGCCTTGATTAAGCAAAGTTAATTGAGTAATGTTACATCTATTTTCATGAGGAAGGTATCTGTAAGTGTTCTAAGAGCCGACTCTTGTAGAATCCTACCCATAGGTTTAGGGGTTAAGAACACTTGGGTGGCTGGTAGTCATTTGCAGTAGGGACAACAGGAGCTACAACACTTTGGGTGCAGCAAATTATGACAGAAAGGGACCTCGGTTTTGTTTTATTTTGATACTTGGTACACCATAGTGAATTGGCATGTTAAAATAAGCATTCTCTAACTCGAATACAGCCATCACTTATGGCTCAGCTCTTGCATCCCTGTTTGTCAGACTAGATAGGGCTTTGAGAAACAAGGGAAGTGTTGCCTTGTCCAACACTAATTAGAGAAAATCTTCTGTGAGAGAGCAGTGCTTTCCTCTATTTCCTCCAAGGGGCTGATTGTGTAGGGGCCAAACTAGACATACATTTAAATAAAAAGCAGACAGATATATATATTGTTTTTTCCTTGGCTAACCACTTTGAAGGTTGTTTTTTTTTAAAAAAAACAACAACAACCAATCAAGTGGTACATAAATTCTATGAAATAAATAAGTAAATAAATAAATTTGCTTATTTTCCTCCTGTAGTCCTCATGGAGTCTAGTCAACATGTAATCAGGTAACATTCACAGATTTCCCTCCCGTAACTGAAAGGGCTAGAAGCTAACACCGGAATCCTAGGAAGTTTAAACTGCTTGCCCAACACCACACACATCCAAGCCAGGAAGTAACAGAATGCTTATAGCACGCGTGGGAAAGCTTGGCTCGTGAGTAGGTGCAAAAGTCAAGCCAGTCACAAAGAGCCTAGAGGATTATGTAGAATTGGCTGGTTATTTTTATCTTCTTTTCACCACTCCTTTAAAAACAGATGAATCAAGTAGAAATAACTTTCTTCAACATTTCCAAGTCACGTTTTTTCTCCATCATAATCAGTATTTGATCTGCACTGTGAAACTACTTAATGCTCTTCATGAAGCCTTTTAACTTTAGACTTAAGCAGGAAGTCAAGCATGTTCTCTCCCTTCAAGGTGCACATTCCATTGTTTTCTGAAGTGGTATAAGAGCGCTGTCAATCACACTCAAGTAACATGTACTAGTGACAGTTTGTCTTAAATATCTTAGTAACGGAGCAAACAGGTTCACAAATACCACAAAACATCATTATTCTTAAAAATAAAATAAATCAGAACTGAGGCATTCCAATCTATAGCCTTAGTTTAGCAAGCACACTTGTGACTGGAAACGGACAAGCTATGATCCTTTGTTCAGCGCGATGGTTGAACTAGGTATGGTGATCTTTTTTAACTCCAAGAAAACCACAATTAGTTTTGGTTTACTTACAGTCGTGTGTTTATGAGAAAGAAACCACAACCCCTGGTTTGGACATAACACCAAGGAACGGATTATGGTTTGTTTCTCCTGTGTACTAGTGGGGAGGAGCTAAGCAGAGTTCTCCAGGGAAGGAGATTCACAACTGAGGGGCCACCACTGAAAATCCTTGCCCGTAATATTCACTAATAGGCTCATCCTTAGTGGTGGGACAAAGAAAAGGGCTTTCAAGGGTGACTGTAGGGTTTGGGCAAGTTCTAAGGGTGCAGATGGTCCTTACATATTAGATACTACATACATAAATCAGGAAACCTGCCACTTTGCAAGAGCCTGATTCAAAACGCAGTCGTGCATATTTGGCATTTGATACAAGACTGCTCTATTTATAAGCCCTCCCAATAGCTTGTTTGTATTATCCTAATCTGAGAAGCCACTGTGATCATTACTAATAAATCTCTGCTAAAACATTCTGCAAATCAATCGATCACTAACTGGACATCTTATATATTTTAAAATAATATCCATCATCTGCTAACTTCATTGACCCCGGCCCACCATAATTTAATTAGATTATAATGAATTATACATTTATTAATGTGGCCATAACCATCACCTTCTATAACATTTTCCTCCCACCCACAAATGTAGGGCAACATATATGGTGTGTACCCCCACCATCCTCACAACTCCTTTGAGACTAGGCTGAGAGGGTGCCTTGTTCAAGGTCATTCAATGAGCCCAATGGCTGAGCAGCAATCTGAACCTTGCCCAACCTGGTCATAGTTCACACTGAAGCCACCACAACACACTGGCTCTCCAAAGCGCACAGAAGTCAGTTTCAAGATCTAGAAACGTTTCGGTGCGTGACAAATGCTTTCTCCAACTTTCTAAGCAAACACTAGCACCAGAGCTGGCTTTAAAGTCACAAAAGCCCTGCTGTATATTCAGTTTGGCAAACACACACAGGAAGCACAACATACTGACTGTGACCTCCAGGTCTTATATTGCCTCCCAACTACAGCGGATAATGGCTCCCAAACAAAGATCTTGTTCAACACTCACTTGCAGCGTAATTTTATACATGTTAACTCAGAGGCAAGTCAATGGTGCTCACTCACTAGCATGAGCGATTAGGATCACAGCCTGAATTTGTTTTCTTGGAAAAAGAGAAGTTATTTCAGCCAAGTTAGCATTAACTACAACATTGCAAAAAGGGTCGACCAGTTGTTAGGAAGTGAATAATGCATTGCATTTATATAGGTTTATTTCCAGGCCTAGAACTGAAAGGGCATCATTAAAGCTCACTTACTTTAGAACAATCCCCATTGAAGTAACTAAGAAATATTTTTGAGTAGACCAGGACTGTCTACTGTACAGGACTGCATAGCAAAAAGTTATTGAATCAACCAACCACTTACAAGCAAGAGATAGCAATATGGACAAGCCTGAAAGTGCCTCCTGATACCAGTTTAAAACAGCAATAGAAAAGCAGCTTGAAGGATTTTTGAACAAGGAAGCAGCAGGGCAGAGATGTGGTGTGTGTTTTGCTTCTTATACTGTTACAGTTTCTTCTCTCTGCCCCCCCCCCAGCTTAAAAATGTGTATTTTGATCCTGTGGTGCGTGTGTTTGGAAGGGAGGGTATGATCTGGACTCTCACTGGGATGCGTGTGCAATGTGCAGTCAATAAATCACAGATAAGGAATGGGTTTAACACCTCTCTAACACTCACAATAAGCTGTTTGCTTATCTTGTTAAAGTCAGGGCTCCATTAAAATAAGTGTAGTTATTCACGCTGCAAGCCAATTAAACGCACATTAAAACTGAGTATTTCATAGGGCTGCAACCCAATTAAACAAACTTTAAAACTGATTATTTACCAGATTTTAGTTGGTTAATTTACTGATTATATAATATTTTCTTATTACATCTGTCTCTTTACTGGGGTTCCTCTTAATATTTAGCAAGACAAATGTTTGCTGCATATATTTCTGCTAGACAGATAGTGATTTTTAACAAGTTTCGCACCTACCTACCTCCAAACCCCAGGTGGACAGTGGAACTCAATATATGATCTTTCACACGTAATTGCAGGCATACATTCGGCTCTTCCCAAAGACCATCTTGGAATAAATTTTCCTTTTTTATGCCCATCCAGGCAACAAAGCAGGAACCAATTAAAAAAACACAAAAAGGTTGTGCCAGCAGCAGTGAAGTGTGCCTTCTTGGCTGGGTTCCCTCTCCCACCAGAAATAGGGATATTAGCACAAGGCCCCAGCATCATTGCAGAGGGCTCTGGGTAATCCATTTCCCAATGGGAAAGGTGCCCAACAGCACCTTTTATCCTCATTTTATAAAACAGCACCAGGGAGGCAAAAAATGAGTGTAGCAAAGTCATGATGTGCTGCTTCCTCCAATAATGCCCCCTACTAAGAAATGGGAGGAACTCTCCGATGAGAATTCAGAGCACGATTCTCAAGTGTCTATGGAAGCGTGAAAAAGACTTTCCATTTTCTGGAGAACAAGGGACATGCAAAGGAAAGAAGTGTCACAAGGGTTTAAAATGAAGGATTGGGTGATATTGGGGCAATGCCTAATTAAACAGATCCAAAATTTTAATGAAGCAACGTCATTTAATCAATTAAGGTCGAAGCCCTAGTAGGTGACCCCTAGATCCCCAAAGAAAACTGAGGATGAGGCTGGCTTGGGGTTCCTGAGTCCATACATGGTCTACTGCTGTTTTCGCTGGAAGGAAAAAGATTGATTGGTTCCCAATGTACAACCTATTGTTTAGATGTGGTATATAATTACGGCTCAAGATGAAAAAGTTCAACACAGAACAATTAAATTGTTTCTCAAGCTAGAAAAGGTTTCCTGCACCTTAATCTAAATAAAAGCAAAACCAAGGCAAGTTCATTCTGACTGAATGGCTCCCTTTCCCCAAGTTCCCATATTTTAACAATTTCAAGTAACCATCCAAGGAGCCTGGCAACTGCTAGAGATTTTTAACAGCCCCGCTCCAAGCAAATCCAGAAACCTTATGCCCACACAAAGACTGCTGTTGAGGTCCCTTGAGCAAGCAGAAGCCCATGTAATAGAGTTTGCTGGGTGGCCCATACACTCTGTCTTCCAGGACTAGGTCTTTTCAGATCAATAGATATTAGTGAAAGTTGCTTACCTGCAAATGCTGTTCAATAGCACATCTCGCACACAGTAGCTCTGGATGTAAGAAACAAGTTGGTGGTGCTTGTTGGTATTGTCTGATGGAGATCTTGCATAGGAAAGACATGCAGGCCAGTGCAGCCACTACAAAGGTACCAGACTGGAGGTCTTAAGAATGCCTTCCTCTAATCCGTTAGTATTGGGAAACCTAAGTGTCCAAGAACAAGAGGAGACTGTGGTTATTCATCCCTGTTATTCTATGACATATCACTTCAAAATACAGCTTTGAGCTGAAAGCGTGCTGTAACCTGATAAGATTTCAGAGGGGCATAGCATACGCTTCACTTTCTCAAAGAGATTGCATGTAATGGAACCAACTGCAATGCCTCATCCACTAGGAATTACTCCTGCCTAAAGCAGCCATTTCGCAGGGCCCCCTAATGTGATGGGCACTAATTAGGACTATTTCAAAGACATAAAAATCAAGATGTAATACATCTATAATTAGTTAGAAATAATTAATAATAGAGGTAAAGGTAAAGGTACCCCTGACCGTAAGGTCCAGTCGCAGACGACTCTGGTGTTGCAGCGCACATCTCGCTCTATAGGCCGAGGGAGCCAGTGTTTGTCCGCAGACAGCTTCCGGGTCATGTGGCCAGCATGACTAAGCCGCTTCTAGCGAACCAGAGCAGCACAGGGAAATGCCGTTTACCTTCCCGACGGAGCGGTACCTATTTATCTACTTGCACTTTGACGTGCTTTCAAACTGCTAGGTTGGCAGGAGCAGGGACCGAGCAACGGGAGCTCACCCCGTCGTGGGGATTCGAACCGCCGACCTTCTGATCGGCAAGCCTTAGGCTCTGTGGTTTAGACCACAGCGCCGCCTGCATCCCTAATAATAGAGGTAAGATACAACTAAAAATACAACTCTTGGGTATAATCTGCTAATAACTATTGCTTTGGCATTTTTGAAGAATGAAGCTCAGGAATTGTATATGCCTTCATTCTATATCTGAAATTGGTTAAAATTTATGCAATAAAATACAAAACAGACACAAAATCACAATGTGGCCATCTAACAGTACAATTTTAGGTGACAACATACTCAAGGCCTAGGGAAGAGTCACAGCCCCTTACATTCCACAGCACAAGAACAGCACATTCAAAAAACCAAATATTTCCCCTCCCATTCCCTTTTACTGTCTATCTCAATGTTTTAGTTTCCTCTTTCTATCCTGTCGTATTTCTGTATGTGAAAACCTTCAGAAAAGTTTACAAATAAACTTGCATCTCAAGTTAACCCTTTTCAGGGCTACACTGAAAGTAAGAGGCTGAAATTACTCTGCATGAAATATTACTTCCAACAGTTCAACATGTCTGAACCGGTTATTAAACCTCTTTTTAAAGTTAATGTCCAAACCAGAACAAAACTGGAGAGTTAAAAAAAATGCTGATGAATCAGAACTGAACCCAAATTTTTAATGGTTCAATTCCCTGGAGAAAATGTGCAGATGTATGTATGGTCCGAAATCCTTCCATTTCCTCTATTACATTATAAATATTTAAATGGTATAGGAAAAACAATCAACAGAACTTTAGCAGCCAGCTAGGTTGTCCTCTGCCTTCTGAAATATTGCACTGCTGTTGAGTAAATAAGGCTACACAATACAGTGCCTTAAGTGGTTCCATTAATATGATAAATTGAAAATGGCTCCCCAATAAAACAATCAAAATCTTCTTGCTGCATTCCCATTCCTAAGCTACATTTTTATTTATCTACCCCATTTTTACCTTGCCTCTCTACCTTAACACTGTTGAAGGCAGATTAAAATTTACTAACCCCCCTTCAAAAAGATATAGTGAAATCACAGTAACTGACGTACAGCAGAGCAAAGCAATATAACTACAAGTCTAACAGAAGGGCAAATCGAAACTTGCCTAAACAAAGAGGTCTTTACTTGATAGTAAAATGCAATAGTAAGAGAAAAAGCAAAATGAATCTTTCATGACGGGGAGATCCATAATCCATAGAGATGTCCCCCCCCCCATTTAACTGTACTTCAGCTACTCAAGGGACATAGGGAGGCTTGTCAAACTGACTGTAAGGAACAGGCAGAATTATAACTGGAACAAATTGCCCTTAAACTATCTTACCCCTAAACTGTATAAGGCTTTAAAAGGTAATAATGAACATCTTAAATTGCAACCAGAAATGAGCAAAGCTGAGCAAGACATATCCTGCTGTGCCCCACAGGGTTCCACCTTGCACCCCAAGCTATTTTTCAGAAGCTGCTGGGAGAGGTCATCAGGAGATTTGGAGTGAGGTGGCACCAATATTATCTAATCTAATCTATCTATTATCTTCAGGTAGGTAGCCGTGTTGGTCTTACACAGTCAAAATAAATTAAAAAATAAATGCTGAAGAAGTAGTGTGCATGCACACAAAGGCTTGTACCCAGAACAAACTTGGTTGGTCTCTAATGTGCTACTGGGATTTTTTTAAATCTAATCTAATCTATCTATTGTTTAAGGTAAAGGGACCCCTGACCATTAGGTCCAGTCTTGACCGACTCTGGGGTTGCGGCACTCATCTCGCTTTATTGGCCGAGGAAGCTGGCGTACAGCTCCCGGGTCATGTGGCCAGCATGACTAAGCCACTTCTGGTGAACCAGAGCAGCACACGGAAACGCCGTTTACCTTCCCACCAGAGCAGTACCTATTTATCTACTGGCACTTTGATGTGCTTTTGAACTGCTTGGTGGGCAGGAGCAGGGACCGAGCAACGGGAGCTCACACCATCGTGGGGATTCGAACCGCCAACCTTCTGACTGGCAAGTCCTAGGCTCTGTGGTTTAACCCACAGCACCACCCGCATCCCAGTAATCTATTGTTTACTAGCAAAAAGAAAAAAAAGCTTCTAAGTGGTTTACAATTATAAAACCAACTAAAAGGAATATAGCAATACAGGCGGCAACTATTTTGTGCTCGTCCAGTTGATGTGCAACTGCTGACCCATGTGTTGTTTTTGGGGGTGGGGGCAGAATGCGTTGACGTGTGAAATGACCTGGAACACCCTCCCCCCCCAAACAAGAACCTGCCTGCACACAATTAAAATCTACAATAAAACAGCTCCATCAAAACACTGAAATTAAAATGCAACAATTAAAATCTACAAAAGCAAATCCATTAAACCAGCATAACAATTAGAATAGGTAAAACACGAACTGAAACTGGAGGATCAAGTCAGGAGATCAGGGAAATGCTTGTCTAAACACATGTGTCTTCAAGAGCCAGCAAAATGCCAATACTGACAGCGCTCCTTATATTCTAGCAGGGAGAGCGTTCCACAACACTGCTGCCACCACAGTGTTGCCATGTGCAAAGTGAACCATTTTAAAAAAATGAGGACAGTTCACATGAAGAGTATTGAAACGGTGTTCAGTTGGCACTTCAAATGAAGTCTAGGCTCAAATGAAGTCTAGGCTCAAGAAAAGGAAGTGCCGTGCAGACTGATTTTAAGATGCATCTACACAAAGCACGAGCTACATGAGCTGAATCAAAGATGCAGACCTGAGTTTTTATTTAGGGAGGGTGAAACCCCACCCAACACAGGTTGAAGGCCTGGGGTCATATTGTTTCGATGAAATACATCAAGATAAGCGAATGTATTTTCCTTCTGAAGGCAAATGTTAGAAACTCTACCTCATTTTGATTGTCTTCTATCACACAGGGAGTACAGATGACTGCTGGGGCCTGTTGCACAAGACAGAACTAAAACAAATGCTTTCTACATTGTATTGAGTTTAAAAACTGTTCTGTTCTTTTACAGTTGGTTTTTTGTTTTTGGTCCTCTGGGGAAACTATGTAAAGATTAGGAAGGCTGGACTCAATTTTCAGAAAGCCAAAGGGAAGACTCCAGGGACTCTAGGAAACTTCCCTTATTGAGACACACAACTTCTCTGACGGTAGCTGGCTATTTTGCTATGGCCTAAATACACTCACTGTTACGTGACTATTCCTCAGAATATCCAGAATTCAAAGCCTAGAATTTTCACAACAGTATGTGGTGCCAATAAATAACTTTTTGGACTCCTGAAACCCTTGTCTGGGTACAGACTGGAGCACATTTTAAAATTATAGTTTCAATGACAGTTCTTTAGAAGTCAAAGAAGATTACTATGAGAAGAGTTTGCAGCAGAATTGGATACTACAAGGAGATCAGCTTTTAGAGATGGGTGAAACCTCTGTTCTCTGCTTCTCTCTAGTAACCTCACAATTTCACCGGTTAGTGGCAAAATCAGATGTTAGCTAGCTTTAATGATGGCATTTCCTCCTAAGGTTGATCATGCTACAATTGTGTGAAGAAATGGCATAGACTGCTGCTTAACAGGTGTTGTGAGTGGGCATCTGTGCAGGGGGTGGGGATTGAAAATAGATGAGTCATCCCCAATCACTGCTTTAATTATTAAGTACTTCTTGCTTTTTGAAGATGGAAACTCATAGGTGGCAGAGAGACAGAGTGAAGATTCAGTGACTACAGGAAATTAAAAATAAAAATATGTTTAACAGAAATTAAAGGCATGCATTTCTGTCAATGAAAAGCAATGCATTGCTCGATACATAAATATTATTTCAATTTGGCACAGCAAATTAGCATTGACCTCACATTTCTAAACCCATAGAAATATATTTATTTGTTCATTCCCCAGCGTATGTCTGCTTTTCCGTACCCACTTCCCTATCTTTAACAACCGTTCAGTCAACAAGAGTAAAAAGAGCAAGAAGGGCAGCAAGTAAAACTTAAGAAATGACAAGCTCTATGAGCCAACTCTTGCCATTTACATAACTTAAGAGCCAATACATTTTTCATTTACTTACTTACTTGCTTACTTTTGTGTGATCAGTGTTGCAAATGACTTGTAAAGGAAGATTTACCAATGCAGGACAGGACAACACTTTTCTACTATTACAACTATACCAGCTCTTAACTATCATATCAGAAAGAGTTCAATTGCCCTGTCTATAACATGTGCACCTATGAAAACATTTCCTACAAAGACGCATTTAAGTCTGAACATAATAAGGGAGTCGGTGCTGTTTTGCCCAAAATCATCAAAGTGGAATTGTCAATCAGTGAGCAGGACTAATTTTAATCCAAAGTATGTACTCAGTACAAGAAGTTGAATGGATACTTGTTTTAGCTTGAACAATGGATGCACAGACATTTTTGTACTTGATCAAAATCACACCGTTTAACTAACAAGCAGTTCTGCATACAGAAAAGCCTGAAAAACACCAGAATAAATTGCACAGACCCACACAGGTTGAAACAGTGACCTATATACTTGCCCATCTATAAAGCTATGAGGCAATGACTATCCTCAAAGTTTAAACAAAATGCTGACAGACGTTAACATACTATCTGGGTACCAAAAAGCATCGGATTCTATAAATTGATACCTTTTTAATTAACAAGAACAATTCTAGCTACTTTGCCTTACTGCCAGCAGGCTTCATCACCATGTAGTCAAGGCACTGAAACAGCTTTGTAAAAACTGAGTAAGGCAAAAGCAGCGGTGCAGTGGATCTCGCCACCCACAAGAAACTGAACCATTCATTTATTGCACAGCGGTCTTGCAACACAGAGCATTTTTTAACACCCATTCTTCCTCCCCCGCTACTTTTCAGAGATAAAAAACACATTTTCATCAGAGCAGAACCACACTGCCTTAGATGGGGAAGAGTGAATTTACCTTGCTCTCAAAATTAATCACACAGGATTGCACCAGACCTATGCCTTTTAAACACAGCTCTTCCCTGCTCAAAGTGTGTGTGTGTGTGTGTGTGTGTGTACAGTTTAAAGGGCTAAAAGGGCACATGGGTGAGGAGATACTAAACCCATCTCTCATCCACTTCTCTTAACAGTGGCACTATCAGGGCAGGAGTCCAGGTCTCACTCACCAAAATCAGCACCCTAAAAACACAGCAGGGCTGGCTCACCACACTTTGAAGTAATATGCATTAAAGTCTACAGAGTGGTGACTTTGAGACCATTAAGTCCAAAGTCTCAAATTAACCTAAATCTACACTTAGCTTTTACTGCTGCAGCCACCTTCCACCCACCAGCCAATTTCTTCTCCACCAATCTCACTTCCAATACTGGTTGAGGGAAAACACATCTGAATGGAGGGTGTGTAATCACATGGGTCACATGGACAGGGGGAGAGTATGCCTTACTGCCCCTGCTGATTACAATTTAAAGAAAGAGTAGCATGATATGGAGTAGATGTAAGAAACTTTACTAATTGGTTCACAGAAGCTCCTCCTATCAGGAGGAAATTTTCTGCTAATCCACACACGTCATTCCATTATTACATTGTTCTACAAAAGGACCACGCCTCTGATTCAGCAGAAACTTATTCCTGAGAATATGAAAATGAACCTGCTCCTACAGCAGTGCTGAACAAACAGAACTTTCCATGAGCTATATTCAACTCACCGGCTTGTAAGAGCAGTTAATTTTCACAAGACCAGCAAAGTTCATGAGAGCAAATTCACACAAGAGAATGTGAAACAAAAGTGAATTTTCAACGGAGGAAATTTGTGGAAAGTTATTTTCAGAAGCTAATTGCAACAAGCAAATGAACAAAGCAGACCACTCAGTTATCCTTACCTGCAGACAATGTATCTGGGCAGCAGAATTGTGATGATTGCTTAAATCTGCAGTCAAGGGACACTTCAGTTCACAGGGATTCAGCAGAGCCACTTGCCTAAATGCACCCAAGTGCTCTGTGATATGGCTGGCTGATGAGCTTTAAGAAATGTGATCCAACTACATGGAACTGTCTGCAGAATCTCGGGTTCCTTCCTGCTCAATACTGTTAGACGTTTCTAAAGCTACATCTTTTAAAAAAAATCTAGCTTGATCATTCCTGTGGTGGGGCCCGCTTGCCAGAAAGATCTCCATCCAGAAACAAGGCATGTGACAACAAAGACACAATTCTGAACAGGCCCACTAGCTTGGCTGTGGGACCATGGGTGCCTGGAGCCACACACACTGTGGGTGCGCAGGTGTCTGATGTCAGCACACTCACCGGCGGGCGTGAATGATGTCAGCACAGTGGGATTCTTGATTACTTAACAGCAGTCGAGTCACATAAAGATTAAAAAAACACTTTCTGCGGCTAAAAATGTTAATTCAGGCATCCCCAACCTGCAGCCCTCCAGATGTTTTGGCCTACAACTCCCATGATCCCTAGCTAACAGGACCAGTGGTCAGGGATGATGGGAATTGTAGTTCAAAACATCTGGAGGGCCAAAGGTTGGGGATGCCTGTGTTAATTGATATTCCTAGCAGTTAATGAATTGGCAATTTCATTTTCCAGCATAGGCAAACCATGACTGGAAAATAGGCCTTGAGTAAATTTTCACATAGGAGTTCCACAGACCACCAATGTTCCAGAAGCTCCATTCAGGTGGTTTGGGGTGTGTATTATAATCTGAATTCAAATAGTGATACAGTAAAATGCAATATAAGAAATACAACCAAAACAATGTAGCATCTAGCACAGCATATTACAATTTCTACACCAGGAAGAAAACTTAGGAAATGATCTGCCAAGCCCCACAGCAATTTTCATGTTGTCTGTAGGGAGAAAGGTTTGGGAACCACTGTTCTAAGACAAAAGCTACCAAGAAGACTTTCACCTCCTCTATTAACCTACTTGACTTCAAATTAATCATATTCATTATGTTAACAAAAGACAATATAAGCTGGACTTGTCTCTAGCGGCTCTAATCTGTATGTCTTTTGAGGTTTCACACATAAGTGTTTACAAACTGTGGTTGGGTCTGGCAGCCACCCTACAATACAATCACAGTGCAATATTATGAGTCGCTGGTGTCCCTTGCACTTGGGACACTACAACAGACCTCAGAAGGCTTTCCCCCTAAAATGTGTCAGGCCCAGAACAAATCTCATTTCTAGCACTTGGATTTCTCTGGCATAACTCCCCCTAAGGAAGCTTTATATGTTAGTCTGCAACTGTGAGCACACCTGGCTGGGAGTAAGGCTCATTTATCACAGAGGAATTTAATTCTGCTGGAGAATTGCCCCAAGCTGGGCAGATGCTTGCCCAAATTTGGGCAATTCCTCCTTGCTCCATTCTACAATTTTCAAGATACTGAAACTCCAGAGAGGCTTTTCAGTGCAGGTAGCTACAAGGGGAGGATAGGATGGAAAGGTCTTCCTCTAGGAAGTTCCTTAATTTAACCTCTTAGGATCCAAGTCACTTTCTCTGTACAACACAGTGGTACCTCGGTTTACGAACTTAATCTGCTCCTAGGTCTGTTCTTAAACCGAAATCGTTCTGAAACCAAGGCACACTTTCTCTAATGAGGCCTCCCACTGCCGGTGCCCTTCCTACTGTTTGGCTTCCGTTCTTAAACTGAGGTAAAGTTTGCAAACCGGGACACTATTTCCAGTTTTGTGGAAGTTAATAAACCGAATAGTTCGTAAATAGGGCTGTTCTTAAACCAAGGTACCACTATATTCCTTTTCATGGGCTCATAGCTGATGAGAACCACTCTTTACTACAATTTTAACGTCCGCAGTATAAAAAACACGTAAGCACTATAACAAACATGGAAACAGAGGTAGGTGTGAGCAAGGTAGTGAACTATTGCCACACAAAATAATAGTACATCGAAATTCCCTGCTTCATTACAGATACAGAAATCCCAAAATTTGGGTGCAGCTATTCTCACCAGAAGTCAAAATCCTGCGATGTTCATTTTACCCCCACTTTCTAAAAAGTAGGGATAGAGATGGTTGTGATCTTAATCAGATGAGCATAATATGAAATTATAAACACATACACACAGCTAGGCATGACTGATAGATACTTGTATATTTGTTTTCAAAAGCTGAAGGGTGATTAAGCCCAAACTGTACCAGGTACTTGAGAATAACCCTTCATGAAAAGGGTTAATACTTTGTGAACAGCATGCATATGGATCTCAGGCACAGATTTCTCTAACAGATTATTTTTAAAAACCCCAACTCCCATCACAATTACAAAGTATTGCAGCATTTCATATACAAATTTGACAGTCACGAAGCAGAGGTGTGATCCCAAAGCACTACCCCACACATTTCTAATCGTGGATAGTGGAAGATTACTGGTTGGAAAGCAAGAAAATTCCCATTTGCATTACTTTAACATCTTCCATTCTTCCTGTTTATGCCCTAAGCCTGTAAAATATATTTATAAATCAAAAGCCAGCACAGAACAACCAGATTTTAGAAGGAATAAGTCAAGCACCAGTTTTTTGGAACAAGACTAGAGAACAGGATTTCACAGTAAGAAACTTTAAATACCCTGCAGCTGGCCTCTGAAATACAGTCTTCCCAACTGCATCGCATTAAACAGAGGCAGATTTCATGTGGTACCCAAATATGACTCCCTCCCACACTAGGCTGATGCTTCCAGGCTTTGTGATAAATTGACATCAAACGCTGACTTAGAAGAATGAGGTGTTTACTTTAAAGGGATTAATCCTGCATTTTGTTACACTTCCTATTTGTTTTGATGCAGTGCTGCAAATCTAAGCAATGGCAGGCTGAGCAGCGCCAAGGCAGAGGAGATACAGCATTCTCTGACTTCAAATGAATTACACAGAATTAAAATTCAGCGAAATTAAGTTCAACACAATTACACACACTGTAGCTTGCGACATCAAAAGTAAAAGGCGGCAGGCTATGGCCTCGTAACATAGGCCAAACCGAATCAAAGCACTAAGCTAAACTGACACACGAACACTGGAAACAGAACTGACAGACAATTATTATACTTCCACGTATCATAAAACAGCCTCTGATCAGTCCAATGCAAGGGCTAGAAGACACAGCTATATGGTATATCTATGCCTCTGATCTAACATTTCCTTAAAACTTTCATCTAACCTTTACCCCTTTCTTTTGCCTTTTGATTCAGTCCTTCTTCAAATATGCTCTCAAAAATAGCTTTTATGTCACCAGTGGTTAACAGAGGAGATATGAGTTCTGCTTCTTCAGAATCACCTGACATTGTACAATGTCCCCACTCCTGCCTTAGAAAACCTAGGTTCTAGTATTATTTGAAATTATAGGGAGGACCTGGAAATGTTAAGGGATTGCCCAGCTGCTAATATTCTCTTCTTAGGCAAGAAGCTCTCGAAAAGATGGCAGCAGTTCAACTGTAGACAGGCTTGGAAGAAGCAATTATCTGGTCCCTCTTCAATCCAATTTCAGGCCCAGATATAGCACCAAATTGGCACTAGTCATCTGGCTTGGTGGTCGTTGCTGAAATAAGGATGGATGAGTGCTACTCTATTGATTCTCCTTGGCCTTGTCAGCTTTGATACCAAGGGACATGGTTTCCTCTTGGAGTGGCTCTGTGGATTGTGAGTGGATTCTATTGGCCTGACACATATTGCAGCAGTTCTTTAAGACTTGCAGTGGTTGCCAATGTGCTTCCAAGCCCAAATCGAAGTGCCTGAATTGACAAATAAATCCCTAAATGACTTGGGCGCCAATATCTGAAGGAGCATCCTCTCCCATAAAGACGTGCCAAGGTGCTGAGATCTGAGGGAGAGGCCCTGCTCACAGTTCTGCTGCCTTGTGAAATTTGTGGAGTGGTGGTGCATGAGAGGGCCTTCTCGGTGGTGGCCCCCAAATTGTGGAATGCCCCTCCCAAGTTGCCTCTGGCCTTGTCACTGTATACTTTTTGACATCAGGTCAATATACCCTTTTATTTATTATTTATGCAATTCACAGCATAAAAAGACAAGATAAAAAACGAAGAAAATCCATAATAAAAACAAGAACAAAACCAAACCAATCACCCCTTTCTCCTTCTGCAAAAGCCATTGGAGGTGAAATGTCTTACATGATTTAATTGTATTGAGCTGTATGTGACCTGCCCTGGGGCTACAAAGTGAAGGGAGAACTAGAAACAAATAAGGAAATAAAATGTGTCCATTGAAGACAATGTTAGCTCTTCCGCATTTAAAATGAATGTTGAGGGAAGTAAGAAGTATATATAACTGAGAACACAATACACAAATAAAGTCATATTCAGGGTTGTGCCCTCAGATAACCTCCTTGATGCCAACCAAGGATCCTGCATCTCCAAATATTTTTATTTTTAAAATCAACATTTTTAAAAGCTTTTTTCTGCCATGGGTGGCACTGGGCACACAGCATTCTTACTTCCTTTCCCCCAGAATGCATCACTTGCCTTTTTGTTTTTTTTTTGTTTTTTGAATAATTTTTATTAAAGTTTCAATAAAAAGTTGAACAGAAAGAACATAAAAAAGAAATACACAAATACGCAATACAAGTTCCAAAAAAAGAAAACAAAAATGAAAAACAAAAAATTACAAAAAAAAAGAAACAGAACAATTAAAAACAATATCACCTTTTCATTTCCCTTTTTTAAATTTACTTGTTTTCTGGACTTCCTCATACCTCCCTCTTTTGTATTCCAGTCCAAATTGTTCCTCCAGCAATTTCTTTTCCACTTTTTTAACCCCAATCTTTATTCTTAGTGTAATATAGCATTAAAAAATTTACCTCTTAAGTATCAAATTTCCCTTTCCTTTAACTTATTTACTCCTAATCTTTAATCTTGATGTAATATAGCATTAAAATTTTACCTCTTAAGTACCAAATTTCCATTTCCTTAAACTTCTTTAATCCTGATCTTTAATCTTAGTCTGTCTTATAATTTTATCCTGTACAGCTGGAAACCACTTATTTTCAATCCAACATCACTCTAACATTCCTTAATTTTGCAATATTTCTGTAGGTAGTCTTTGAATTTCTTCCAATCTTCTTCCATCGCCTCTTCTCCCTGGTCACGGATTCTGCCAGTCATTTGCGCCAGTTCCATATAGTCCCACTTGCCTTTTTGTTTGGTGGTAGTAGTCACCGTGATTATGATGATTTATCAAGTTATATACTGCTTAATGCAAAAATAGACTACTAAACTGATTGGTTGTGTTTAGGGCTGTGTTCTTTGTTCGTTTGAAATGTTATTTGTTGGGAGTGTTTTGCTTATTTGGGGGGAGGTGTTGCCTGCTTACCCCCTGTACTTTAGAAAAGGTTGTAGATGTTTTGCACACTGTTTTGGAGAGTCTCTGAGCATCACCAGTTTTTCTTCTGTGAAATGGTACTTTGTGGTAACCACGACAGTTATATGCCTTTTTTCAGAATGGGAATAAAATTACAGGAGGCATTCTGCCTGTCAACCATCCACTTACCCTCAAAAGAAGAGACAAATCTGCATTGGACACAATGAATATGCACATGTATGTCCTCTTTTGTGAATGGGTTAGAGGGTCCAATTCATACACAATGAACTAGGTCTAGAAAATCCTGCTGCCACCTCTGCTTCTGAGGCACTGCCATGCTGCTAAACTCAGCTAAAGCAGCTCTTAAACATGTGCAAAACACTTAGTATTAACGGGAAAACAAGCCAAACACCCACACTTATTCGAATTCAGAAACAGCTTCATAAATCTAGCTTCATTTTCAGTTCTCATATTCTCCATCTTGTGTTTTAATTATATCCATGTAATTCAGTCCAATGTTTCCAGAGAACAAAAGATAGATTCCCATCAATGACTCTTGAGATGCAAAAATGAACAGCTTATGATTAACAACAATGGAAATGTTTGGTAAAGGTATTAAATGAATTGTTGTTGTGAAAAAATACAGGTTGCATGGCTAGTATCTTATGCTGAATTAGACACTCTTCTAGTATACAATCGTCACATTCAAGTACTTTACAGCCAACTACTCAGTGTTTCATTTAAAGAAAACAATGCATATATTTTATTTTAAAAACGTAACAAAAATACAAAAGGGTTCAACAAGTGTATGATTGGAAGATATTAAATGTTAGTCTTAAATTGCAAAGCATGTATTTTCAAAGATATATGGGGAAATAATAAAAGTTTGCCCGCAAAGTAAAGTTCTTTTGACATATAAGCACCAGAACTTCTGAATATACATCTAAAACTATATGCAGAGTAAAAAGGTAAAGGGACCCCGACCATTAGGTCCAATCGTGACCGACTCTGGGGCTGCGGCGCTCATCTCGCTTTATTGGCCGAGGAAGCTGGCGTACAGCTCCCGGGTCATGTGGCCAGCATGACTAAGCCACTTCTGGCGAACCAGAGCAATGCACGGAAAGGTTTACATTCCCGCCGGAGCGGTACCTATTTATCTACTTGCACTTTGACGTGCTTTCGAACTGCTAGCTTGGCTGGGGCAGGGACCGAGCAATGGGTGCTCACCCCGTTGCGGGGATTCGAACCGCGACCTTCTGATCGGCAAGTCCTAGGCTCTGTGGTTTAACCCACAGCGCCACCCGCGTACCTTCTATCTGCAGAGTAGTAGCTATTAAAAAGGATGCTACAGAGATTTGTAACTTTCAAGATATAGGTTTTCCTATCTAGACTACACAGAACAGTATCTAGGTATGCTGACAGAATGCTTTCTGCCTTTAGTGCACCCTTGAATCCCAAGCAAGATCACTTATCCTCCATTCCCACACCGCCACACTTTTTGCAAAAGAAAAAAAGAAAAAAGTGTACAGTATTCATATTTTAGAAATAGTAGTAAGGTAAAGGTACCCCTGCCCGTACGGGCCAGTCGTGACCGACTCTAGGGTTGCGCGCTCATCTCGCTTAAGAGGCCGGGAGCCGGCGCCGTCCGAAGACACTTCCGGGTCACGTGGCCAGCGTGACGAAGCTGCAACTGGCGAGCCAGCACCAGTGCCGCACACGGAAACGCCATTTACCTTCCCGCTATAAAGCGGTACCTATTTATCTACTTGCACTTAGGGGTGCTTTTGAACTGCTAGGTGGGCAGGAGCTGGGACCGAACGACGGGAGCTCACCCCGCCGCGGGGATTCGAACTGCCGACCTTACGATCAGCAAGTCCTAGGCACTGAGGTTTTACCCACAGCGCCACCCGCGTCCCTTTAGAAATAGTAGTATCCAGATCCTATTTTCATGTCAAGAACATGTGTGAAACACTTACAAAGCTTTGACACTGCCAAGTACTCTGAAAGTTCACGCTTACAGAAATAATGCAACAGCTAAAATGGTACAAAAACAGTGTGGTGGAAGGAGAGAGAATGTCCCTTCCTGAGTTTGGTACAGTTTACAGTATTGATTTGAAGATGTGAGATCTGTTCCACTAAGAGAGAAGCTGCATGCTTGAAATGCCCAGGATTTTGTAGTCCAAACCCTTAATATTTCCATCTGGCAGCTCTTCTCATTATGAAAGTCTTATGGAAAACTTTGTGGTTGGTATTCAACTAAGGAATTGCACGAGTGGAATAATTACTGCTAGTGCAACAGGGGACCTTCTCTCTCTCTCCTCCAGCACTGTACCCATAACTGTTCCGGATGGTTGGGGGAAGAACCCATAACAGAGTTTGGTGTGTCGGAGGGAAAAGAGTGGGGAGTCCTGTTGTGCAATGAGAAATCCTCGTGCTTACAGAATGTTCTCCGTAGGAGTACACTGAATACAACCCTGTGTGGTTTTTTTTCTTGATGGTATGATCAATTCAACCCTAACAGCATATGTTCCTTATGGGAAATCAAGTCAACCTGACCTCTATTTTGCCAACAGCAGTCCCTCCAGCCGGTCTGAACAACATCTGACCAACCAAACTGAATGCAGTTCACCAGCCTTGAATGACCTGACAACAGCTGCAACAGCAGGGAGACTGTCAGCTACCTGGCAGGCTACAGTTGGTGAACTGATGGGGAACTGCATTCAGAAATGTAGGAGAGAGATGGGTGGGGAAAGGAAAATCTGCAAGCTGAAGAATTTCCATCAGAAGGATTCTTATTTTGAAGCTCATTTGAAAAATCTATAGATGGGTAAGGAATGGGTGAACAATTTGTTTTTAATAAACACTTTTTTTTTTAGTGTTCATAACTATTGAAATCATTCTTTGCTTACCCATTCAAAAGCTGCTGGTGAAGAAAAATGAATGGACGTATTTTAAAGAATGTTGTATTAGGACTCAGAAGGGAAGAATTGATTTACGGCAGTGAATACTAACTAACTGGAACAATACACAATCCTAATCCTAGGATGGCATAATTGGAAAGTCCTTGAAAATAATCTGTTCCATCTCCCTGCCCTGGTTTAATTCAGAATGCTTTGAATACAGAAATAAAGCTAAGCTTAATTTGGGAGGTTAGACTGCAATCATATATACTCACTTTCATGAACCCAGTGGCAGTTACTTCCAAAGAGACATGTATATGATTGTACTGTACATACATGTGTTGAGGGCTATTTTATCCTATAGCTATGTCTGAGGCAATTGCTAGGAGCTCCCCATTACTAAAACCACATGGATTGGAATTTCTGAAGCATTTTCCACGTCAAAGCATGGATTGGCTTTTTGCAGAGGGAAGCAAAGCCCGAGGCTACATACAAGTCATACCAGCTGTGGCAATCACAAACGAGGCGGGAATGTGAAAATTCAACTGAGAATGTTGCTTTCCATAAGAGAAGCTCCCCTAACATAATTTTTAGGTACCTATACCTGCACATATGTGGGACCTGCAGGAAAATATTGCATTATATCCTCACCTGCTAGCAGCTTTCCTATTCAGGGCTGTTTTCAGCCAGCCATGCACTTCCCCCAGGATACTCAATTCCCCCTACTATTTAATTTCTCAGAGCGATGCCAAATTTGAAAATCATATTTTATTTCTTTATAAAGTGAGATTCTCAGGGTCCAGAATTCTATACCAAATAATGCACTTCAGCCGTGGACATTTGTGGTTTACTTACACTTGATTAAATGTGTGTTATTAGAAGACAGGAAGCCTTCATATTTAATTGAATTAAATGCTGTCATTGTTGCTATGTAGGGAAGGAGGAAGAGTCTTCTCACCTCCATACTTGCTCTTCATTGACAGAAGCAGGACTGAAAATAATAACAGTAATAGAGGAGTCTGTAAGAGAAGGGCTGGAGCATGTGGGAAAGGGGTTATTTCCCCAAACACTCCTTGCTGTGAAAAGGATGACTGTTCGGCTTTTTTTTTTTTTTTTTCAACCCCCCCCCCCCAACAAATCCTACATAGGTGAGTCAAAGATTATGGCCTGCATTCAAACAAGAGTACAACTAATTCTGCACATTCACAGCAAAGTTTTGGACCTGCGTTTCTTGACACAGCCCCCAGGCTGCATCGCAAATCTCTTTTAAAAGCGAGCAGTTTTGAAATGTGTGAAATATTGTGTATGTGCATATGTCTTCTGTTCAAAATTCTTGGAAATGCCCAAAATAGTGTGTGTGTGTGTGTGTGTGTGTGTGTGTATCACACACACACACACACACACAAACACACACACACAAACACAGTCCAATAACCACTTTTTTCAAATTAATTTACAGCAAAAGTATGTACAATACAAGGAGCAAAGCAGACTGTAAATTAGGAAGTATACGCTATCTTGAATAAAGTATATGTTTATTTTTGTTGCTGAATATATAGTATATAATGTTTATAATATAATGATAAAGGTAAACAAATGTTTCCTTTCCACAATAATGGAGATTGTGCTTCGATTCATGGAAACACTGACTACTGGAATGGGAGGCTCTTCAACTCAAGTCTACCACAGTGAATAGAAATGCCAGTCAACACACAACATGAGACAGGGATATTGACTGGGGAAACTATATGGAAAGGGAAAGCAGAGCAGTTTATGAATGCAGTTTGCAACTTCATTAATACATTCCATGAACAAGAATTATTTGTGAGATTAAATGGTAGATTTTAAGTAAAAACAAGAAAGGATGAATCTCTTGTTTTTTTGTTGCAGTAGACAAACACATTCTGGATATTGTTCCAATGGCACTAAATTTTAAACCAGTGAGCGAGAGCTATTTTTGCAAATTAGTAGGTAATGGAAAATGTTTAAATCTGGGTGACTTTAACAGAAGGAAGCATCCAGATATTAAAAAAAGAATCGGAGCCAAAATGGGGATATTAAAGCAGCATCTGTACATTGCAATAAAAAGGTAAGCTTAGAATCAGAAAGACAAAAGTATGCTTGCTTTAAAATATTCCTATATCAGAAACAAGTGAACTTAAAGAAAGAGCCAACAAATAAAATGAGATGGGAAATGGAGAAACAGCTTCTCCAGACAGAAGTGACTGCACATACAGAGAAGCTGGTGGTGACTGAAGATTTTTCAGTCAGTTCAATATCTGACTAGTATGAAGTTATAATCCTTTCGAAAGGATAATTCACATTGGGTATATGGGGAGAATCCCTCTGGAACTCCAAATATGCTCTGTTTGTTCAGATCACACACCCACACAATTTTAAAAAAAACCCCGATTCCCAAGAGGTAGATGCATTACTGAATTAACAACACTGGAAGCATGACAGAAAACATTCTTGCTTCCCCCAGCAGGGAGCCAACAATGCAACATTCAAACAAAACTTGGAAGCTCAGTGAGAATCAAAACTCTGAGGAACTGATGAAAAAGTCGTGGTGGTGATATAGCACCTATCATTCCTTAGTACAGGAAAAATATGAATTTATATTGACTTGAAATAAAAATCCTTGCACACTTCACATCTGGGATGGAACAGGAGGAGAGACAGATACTAACTTACGTGATCTAAGTAGATAATGAATATCAACTACGTACCTTTCCAAAGAATTTCCCTTGAGATCTTAGCTGGAATGAAAACTCAGTATGGTTTCAATTATTGACCTATGGCTATGCTCAAAAGCACCACAAAGTTAACACCACACTACTGAGCTTTATATTGGTTTCCATTCGATCACAACAGATAACAGAGCTACACAAACCGATCAGAAATTCATGTTGGGGGTGAAAGATTGCTATATGCTGCTACTAAGACCCTAAGCCACACAGCAGGAAGAGCAAGTTAAAGTTCCTTGATACGAGTATTTCAAACACCACATAATTAATATCATGTAGAGGGCTTGGAACTAAGACATATGCTGTTTAACGACAGATGCACTAATATGGCTTCATCAGTGCTGTAGGGTAAGAAAGCAGAGCCAATTCACAAGAAATTAAACGTACTCATGACATTTGGATAAAGAATTGCTTACCTTTTCCTTTAACTGTCCTAGGTTGTATCATCTCCAGAGACAGAGCCACAACAAATGCAGGAAGGTATTGCTTTCTCTGCGTGTTCTGGAAAATGTGGATGGGCAGTGGAAGGAGCAAATAGGCAAGTGAGCATTCATGCTTCAGCCAGCCAGCTTGTAGATGAAGCTTTGCAGCTAAGTCCCCAAGACCTTCTCACGGCTGCTGATCTCATCCACGAAACTGAAAGAGCATCTCAGCAGGACACTGCCAGCTTCCCTTTCAGAGCGCTCTCACTGACAACCATTCTCTGGCAAGTGAAATGTCAAGAACCAGGCAGGGGCGGTGTTTGGAAAAGGAGGGAGGTGGAGGGATAAGAGATTCTCACCATCCATCAACCTCAAAACCTATTCAGCAAACTGCTTGAATGGAGCCGGCATTTCATTCTCCATGGTAACTGGAGATGGAAGGAAGATGGGAAGAACGCAAAAAGAGGCACGTTGAGCTGGTCTGGGGGAAAGAGGCATTAAGAAAGGGATGGGAGCATTCCAAAACCCCAGCCCATGCCTTCAGCTTACAAGGAAGGAAAAATAAAAGGTCTCTTTCAGCTTCCACCTCTTTCTTCCGGGTGGCAGAATTTCCTGGGATTCAGGCAAAAGCACTTCCCCCTCGGGGTGCAGAAAACAAAGTAATTTCCTGCTCTAAGTACTGCTAATGGAAAGCAAGCTGTCCCATTTGCCACTGAAGGAGCAACTGCTATCAACTGCTTCATGCTCTCTTGAGGATCGGCATACAGAAATGTATCTATTTCATAAGCCATACCTTCATCCAAGAGTTTGAGCAGTATGCACATAAAATTTGACACCTGCAATACTATAGTAGCATATGATCTGGGATAGCTCAGTTGGTAGAGCATAAAACTATGGGTGTCTTAGTCAGGGTCGTGAGTCTGAGCCTCACATTGCACAACCAATTCCTGCATTGCAGGGGTTGGACCGGATGATCCTCATGGTCCCTTCCAATTCTACGATTCTATGATAAAACCTTAATGAAAACAGAATAAAACTGAGAGGAATAAAAGTATTCAGCCAGCTAAAAATACAGTAATTTAAAATGCTTTGGCAAATAAAAAACATTGACTCGGGCGCTGAAATCCTTCACTATTAAAAGGATTAAAGAATTCATTATAATACTCAGCTTTCAGTAACAGCAGCGTAATATCTTTGCTAGCTTCAACTAAATTTTGTCCATTTTCAGCAAAGTTACTCATTCTGCCATGACAGCCAACAGGCATAAACCAAATTCATCTTACAATGAAAGAACTACAGGTGTCCCTCTGCCTGAAAATCAGGTTGCACATTCATTTCCTCTTGAACTTGGCTCAGCGTTATCTGATGCAATGAGCAAAGTGCTCTCAAAAACCAGAAAACTTAACTGAAGGAAAAGCAGACACTAAATACTGAAAAGCCAGACTTCACCTGACCCACATTAAAAAGAACCACATGCAATTTAGCTTATAATAACATTTTGACCCTTGGCCATCCTCCTCTTGTACATTGAAAGTTGAACAGTCACTATACAAATACTTATTTCACCCAGATTGTGCCCAAATTAACATCCTAACCCTTCAAAGCTACTGAGTTTCTTAAGGGATAAGATTAATGCACAATAACCATACAGAGGAATTAAAAACACAATGAATTCAGGCTGCAGCCGCTGATAGCATACTCTATTCAGAACTTCTGTCAGAGTCCTTTCCCTCTCAGCATCTCAAAAGTTTCCTTTCTGTAGCCCAAACTCCTTTATATTGGGACTCCGATTCAGTTTTACTCACTCTAGAGGTATTGCACCATGGCTGTGTATAGCCTTGTCCACACACTGAGATTTTTGTAAAAAAAGAGTTCAATAAAGCAATGCAAATGATTCTCTTTCAAAATTTCCTAATGGTTTTTAAAAATTATTATTATTGTAATTATTATTATTATTATTCAGGTCATGGTTATCAGACAACCCTAAACATTTACCAAACACAGAGAATGATATTAATAACTGGTTATGGTACAACACAGAATATGGATTTTGAAATTAAAGCAGCTACTCACTGAGTAATTCTAGTCCATATTTGCAAGTCAAAGCAATTTAAAACTCAAAAACACTGTGCAGTCGCATTACTACACAAACTGTTTTCGTATTCTACAGGTTTGAACGGAACATTACATTTCTTCTCTTCTCCATCCCTGACCTTCCTACATTGACCAAGGAGGTCTGAAGGACAGTAAGAACATTTGGCTGCTTACATCCTCCCTTCGAACCTTCCCACTTAACATGTGGTGGTCAGGGGCCAGGGCCAAATACAGTGGTACCTCAGGTTACATACGCTTCAGGTTACATACGCTTCAGGTTACAGACTCCGCTCACCCAGAAATAGTACCTTGGGTTAAGAACTTTGCTTCAGGATGAGAACAGAAATCGCGCGGCAGCAGCGGGAGTCCCCATTAGCTAAAGTGGTGCTTCAGGTTAAGAACAGCTTCAGGTTAAGAACAGACCGCCGGAACGAATTAAGTACTTAACGCGAGGTACCACTGTATACAAGTTAAGCATGCCTGAATAGGCCTTGTGTTGCCCTCAACGAGAGCCAGGGTTTTTTCGGCTATGGCTCCGATTTGGTGGAACGCTCTGTCACAAGAGACTAGGGCCCTGCGGGACTTGACATCTTTCCTCAGGGCCTGCAAGACAGAGTTGTTCCACTAGGCCTTTGGCCAAGGCACAGCCTGACCCCCTCCTTTGGTAATTCTTCACAAAACTCTAGCCCAATGGTTGCCATCAATTTGATTTGAACTGATTTTATAATGAATTGATTTTAGAATGTTGTATTATTTTACTGTTGTTAGCCGCTCTGAGCCCGGCTTCAGCTGGGGAGGGCGGGATATAAATAATTTATTATTATTATTATTATTATTATTATTATTATTATTATTATCTTGGGACCAGTAATACAGATATGAAACGCTGGTCAACCTAAAACATGTTAACAGCTAAAATTAAACCTCATAAAATTGATATTTTGGGAGCCTGGGAAGGGAAGGGAAGATTAAGAAAAAGCTGGATGCCTAAACAGTATGCTAATAAAAGCACTGGCTTACGCTGATCTAGAGAAACACCTTGAGCACAAAAAATTAATCAGACTTTTCTTCAAATAATTTATATCTAATCAATTCACTGAATGCACACTGTGACGGAATTTTATTCTATCATTTCGAACACCACCTTGTTTTTTTAAAGAGGGATTTAATATATAATGAAACTGCAGGGAATGAGATTTATAATTCCATCCCACCCTCACTATTCAGCCTCCACTCTCAGGACTCAGATGAAATGGAAGAATGCGCAACGGCTATGTCACTTGAACACTGCCCCCAAGGCAAGCAGTCTGTTACCATAATCATCCATTTAAGCTTCCACTGGATACTGCCTCTTCTGCACATTCCATCTGATGAGAGTAGATCACATGGGTCTTTTGTTATATGCACCACTAACTTGTTACAAAAATCTTTTCAGGGAAGGGAACACGTTCTTTTAAAAAGGGCACTTAAAAAGCAACACGGAGGTTGCGGGGGAAATATTTTATGATCCAAGTCTTTATGGTGATCTTATATGCAAGCGCAAGGAGGGAGACTATTTTTCTGCTGGTTGCTACAAATCGAACCCTCTCATTGTCTTGGAAAGGCGACACGGAAACATCCCATAGTTTCACGTGGCCCACAACGAAAGAGAGGAAGAAGTCTGAATAGCAAAAGGCTCCCGTGTCTTGTTCAACATAGTACTCAGGCACTCCTGTGTATAGGAATGCCAGACCACATTACCTTTACGAGTATGTAATTAACAGAGGAGCTTAAAAACCAGAACCTTTAACTCACACTACATAAGCAGAGACTGTTAACATCGTAAGATATAAAAATCCCTGTAATACCAACCTCAGATGGCTGTGTTAAATGACCCCAACAAGTTTCCTACATCCTTATATGTAGGAATCCCCCCTCCCAGGTGTAAAGAAGTGTTGAAGTTTTGATATTAAAAGAGTAAAATAAAATAAAAATCAAAGGAAAATACACACACAGAGAGAGTATTTTAAAACTGCTTGGCAAGAATTTGTGAATGCTGATGATAGTTAAGCCAGCAGAGAAAAAATAAAGGTTCTACAGGATATTCATATTTACTATGTGTCACTATTTCAATGGTATTTATGTCCCAGTAAGCGTGTGCATGTATGGAAGTGAGAGCTGGACCACAAAGAAGGCTGATTGCCAAAGAATTGATGCTTTTGAATTATGGTGTTGGAGGAGACTCAAGAGCCCCATGGACTGCAAGAAGATCAAACCTATCCATTCTTAAGGAAATCAGCCCTGAGTGCCCACTGGAAGGACAGATCGTGAAGCTGAGGCTCCAATACGTTGGCCACCTCATGAGAAGAGAAGACTCCCTGGAAAAGACCCTGATGTTGGGAAAGATGGAGGGCACAAGGAGAAGGGGACGACAGAGGATGAGATGGTTGGACAGTGTTCTCGAAGCTACCAGCATGAGTTTGACCAAACTGTGGGAGGCAGTGGAAGACAGAAGTGCCTGGCATGCTCTGGTCCATGGGGTCACGAACAGTCGGACACGACTAAACGACTAAACAACAACAACAAAGCGTGTGCAGAACTACATACAGTTTAACAAATCAATTCTACCCATGTTTACTCTGAAGTATGTCTCACTGAACTCGACAAGACTTATTCTCAAGTAAGCATGTGCTGGATTGTGGGCCACAATAATACAGAGATCAAGACATGGTTTTATCATTCTAGAATATCTCACAAAGGAAACCACAAGATGAAACGAATAAATCTGTCCACATGATTATGTGCAGGGTGGAAGAAATAACTGTTTTCTCCTTCGTCAAATGGTTTGAGAGGTGCTGTATTAGATGTACTGACCAGTTTTAGTTTCCAAGATTAATAAGACAAATACTGGTGAGAAGTGTGGGTAGATACCATAAGATATTGAGTTACAAACCATATCTGCTCTGCTTTCAGGCTGATGTGGCACACAAGCAAAAGAAAATGAAAAAAGTATATCAAACTAGAAATTAGGATAGTGGGAATCAATATATATAAAAGCTGACAGAACTTTTAGCCATCTGATTTCAGAATTCAGGCCTTTTGCATATTACAATACAACAGATCTGGGTTTGATAGAGTTTAAGCATACCAGAAATGTGTGGTATATTTATGATAAACGTATGGTACCTGTATGATACATGTTTGTCACAGTTCACTCTCTTGGGGGTATACCTAAGAAATGTAATGTGTGATAAGTCCCTCAGTTTGAGGTGTTTGTGATTCTAGCAACAAAATCCATGATAAATTCTAAATACATTTTTCTTCTAGTTGCAATATCTATGCCCTGTAGCCACCCTATGATAACTTGTTCACATGTCTTTGTCCCTCATACAGCAAATATCCAAATTGCCAACATATTCCTAACTTCCTTCCCTTCAACAGTCAATGTCCTTAGCAAAATCTATAAGTCAAAACTGTATGCTAATTCAATACTAAATTTGTCCAGCTTGCACAATTTTCCAGTTGCATAACTCCTAATTTAGAAGGCGCTTGCTATATGTTGCACACAGTTATGCATAACAAAAGCTACGTCTTCCAATGAAAACTGCAACTGGGAGGAAGCAATTTGGAGCAGAGAAATGGAATGGAAGAAGCAGTGGTTTGTCTTTGTGTTCCACCTGTATTTGATCAAAAAGCAAAAAAAAAAATCTGAAAGGAATAAGAATGCAAAACAATAAGTATGCCAAAAAGGGAGCAAATGAATACGAATGAGGAATGAATACCACAAAAAGATGGTACTAGTTTCAGTTGCTGATGGGTTACTCCACTCTGCTAGAAACACATGTACAGAAATGATAGCTCACAATAACTTTGCACCTTCCAAACCAACTATAGTTCCTAGACTCCAGAGAGTCTTAAAGGGAGCTAACTACTGTATGTTTGCTCCAGTTGGCAGATTTATTCTACATTTAAAATCTTTGACATTTGAAACACCAAAGGAGTTGAGTGCCGAAGAACCAAGGGTTTTAGTAAATGCTCTAACTTGGCATTTGTATAAGGGAAGCATACATTAGCGTGTTGATATAATGAATTTTGCTGCATGGTAAGGAATCAAAACACCAATATGGGATGAATAAGCTTTTTTCAAAATGGTTGCAAATTGGGATGGATTGGGGAATGACTGGATAATTCATATTGGCTTTGTTCACACAGCATGGCAAGCCAGACTGTTATCTCCCACAACCTCTTGTGAGTGGAGCTGTTTTCCCTGCTTTTTTGCCCACTGTTTTCCACAGCACTTTGAAAGGGGCTTTGCAGGCACCAGCAAGAGTGGAGGTGTCTACAAACACTCTTTCAGGCCCAGCCCCAATCTTATCTGCCCCACACCTAACATTATATGATTTTGGTGTAGGGCAGGTAGGTGTAGCTTGGCTTTGCAGGAGAAAAGGAGAGGCTAGTGGGCATGTAACCAAGAGGTCCCCCACTGCTGCTTTAAGTCATGGTTCAAAGGTGAACTCCACAGAGTGCTGGAGCACACTGCTAAAATTTCAGCTCTTTCACTTCTCTGCCATACTGCCAGAAGCTAAGCCATAGTTTAGCTTAGCATTACATCCAAACCTGGGCTTGCAGTATGCGTCCTCCAAACAAACCTAGGAACAAACCATTACAGTGGTGCCTCGCAAGACGAAATTAATCCGTTCCGCAAGAGTCTTCGTCTAGCGGTTTTTTCGTCTTGCGAAGCAAGCCCATTGACGGATTAGCGCTATTAGCGCTATCAGCTGTTTAGCGGCTATTAAAGGCTTAAAGGCTTAGGGGATTAGCTGCTAAAAGGCTATTAAAGGCTATTAAAGGCTTAGCAGATTAGATAAAGGGGGGGAAAAGCGAAAAAAAAATTTCTAGACTCGCAAGGTATTTTCGTCTTGCGAAGCAAGCCCATAGGGGAATTCGTCCTGCGAAGCAACTTCAAAACGGAAAACCCTTTCGTCTAGCGGTTTTTCCGTCTTGCGAGGCATTCGTCTTGCGGGGCACCACTGTACTTTTCAATGTTAATGGAAAAAATTCAACCACTGCCATTTTATGTCATCTAAACAGATTTACATGGACAGTGTTGGCCATATGGCTTTAGCTTAGATTTAGAAGTTAAAAGAAGGATACATAGAACAACCCTAACATACCAGCTTCATACATAAAACAAGTAACCTCTGCAAAACAATTTTGGGGTATGATTGTCACAAGACTGATAAAGCATATCACATCTATTTGGAGCCTCACGGGTAGGTTTTGATTTCACGCGATAAAACGCTGCAAGATATTTGTTCTTCAGTTACTGTTTTACATGCCCCATGATATGATAACTAGAAAAGATAGCCATATCAAACTGACTTGTGTTTTATTCTTGCTACAAAAGGAGGAAATGGTGGTTTCTATTATTTTCTGCTGCCTAATGCCCCCCCCCCTCCAGCTAGGCTTCATCCAGCCATGGTATTTACTGCATAGGTTTTACTGATTATAATGGCATTTCTGTCATGATTTCTAATGTTCCTTTCACACTGCAGTACCTATATACCACCATGTCACACTAAGGAGGTTAGAAATCACTGTCTCCACTCAATAGTTGTTGATGAGAGGGGTCAATCCTAAAGGAAAGCTGCTTTTGGAGCATCACTCCAATCCCCTAGATTGATCCTAGAGCTGAGCTATTATATACTAAGTTCTGAACTATTTACTTGAGCTCCTATATTCTGTGAGGCTTCAAGGCTATGATGTAGCACAGCTGTAGAGACAGAACAGAACTTTAGAGCAGGAGACTCTTAACCTCAGGGTTGTGATTTTGAGCCCCATGTTGTGTGAAAGATTCCGGCATTGCAGAGGGTTGGACTAGACCGCCCCCCCCCCCCTTATCAGGGTTTCTCTTATCAGACATAACAACAAACTATGGTTTGCAAACTTACTCAAAACTATTCACTTTCGATTTTGGTTTTTTCAACTTGTACTTTGTCAATTCAGACATCATACTCAGCTTCCTTAACCATGGTGTGGCATGATGCCTGAACTGAGCTAATGAGATTTGATATTTATGATCAAAATGTGTTGCGCTAAGATATACGAATATAATTTTTAAAGGTTTTCCTCCATGTTTGCTTGTGTTCTGTTATGCCCCATATTCCCCTTCAGTTTTCATCCCAGTTCTTACAGTTCAAACAGGCTTTTATGGAAATCATTGCTCAAAAGCCAACTGCATACGACGGTAACATAAAAGGCACCCTGTTTGCAATCTCACAACTAGATCTCTTCAATTTGCAAAAGCACATTACTGTCACACTATCACATTAGAATGGTCAATTGCCCCAACTGTTAATGCTTAGTTTCCAAGTGCTTAGTAGTATATGTTAAACACATGGCATATGCCACTCTAGCAGCAACCATATTAACACTGAAATGTTGCAGTTTTTATACATTTTCAGGATAAGGCAACTTCACTCCCTGAAGCGGAAGCACACTTCTCCATGATACCAGCTGAAAAGCCCGTACCTTTCAGATCCTCTCTTCTCCATGCTTCTGGAAAGTGACTAAAAATATTGCAGTGCTTTGGCGGATCACACTTAACATTCTATGAGCTGATAGTTCATATTCCAGTGGGCAAAATCTAATCTGCACTCTGAGGTAACTGATATTGGCAGGTCTAACATTCCCCAACTCAATGGAATGTAAATATATTTCAAACATACGGACTTTGAGCACTCACCTTCCAACAACTCCTTTGGTTAGCAGCCAGAACAAAACTCGTAAGCCGATTTGTAAGAAGAACAAAGTCACTCCTTTCAGCTAAAAGAGGGAAGAAAGGACAACTTGGATTAGATAGTTACAGAACAGGAAAATTAGAGCCTAGATAGGTGTTTCCTTTCACAGAGATTCAAGGTTGACATTACAGAACTTACAGTGCAGTCCAAACCCAAGTAAAACCAGTTAAACAGAGTGGATTTTGGTTTTAATGGTCGAGGCAGGGCCACACAAGCATAAGTCCCTCAACCTAGCTGGGGTAGGGCTCAGTGGACAGAACTTATGCCAACACAAATCCACCCCCAAGGGGTGTTCCATGAGTGAGGTAGACATAGGACCAGGCAAGGAGACTTACACCTGTTCCCAACCCTTTTCATTCTGTTCACATGACCTAAGCAGCCTGGTGGAACTTAGATGGCAAAAAGGGTGTTGCAAGTCAATTTTCTCCTGAATGAAGTTTGGAATAGGGAAGCAATGCTGGCTTTCTATAATTAGGAGTGCTCTGCCAGAGCACTATCTTGACAACACAGTGGAGTGCAGTGTCCTGTAGGCTGCCAGTCCATTTCTGAAGTAAATGGTGTATGGTTTGGGGCACAGGCCCCTGAAGGAGCACCTTCTCCTATAATGGCCCGTGCACTGAGATAATTGTCAGAGCACTTCTCCAGATGCTACAATCTTCTAAGAATGAATGGGGAGAGACTGAGAAAAGGGCCTTTGGGGCTATGGCCTTCCATCTCTGGATCACTCTCCCTGGTGAGGCTCATCTGGTGCCAGCTCTCATGTTTTCAGCAGCAGATAAAGACCTTTGTGTTTCCCCCCAGAGCTTTTAAAAATTGATTTTACCACGCTCCTGCGATGATGGTCTGAAAAAGTATTAGTTCTTTTTAAAGCCCGCTGTGTTTCAAGAAGCCCCTTCTCAGGGACACTGTGTTCTATGTTCTAAACAGTAGTCTATATCAACATCATACACAATACAATTAATACTTTGGAGGATGAACAAACTGAATCCAGGGGGACATGTACAGAAATTAACAGCAAAGACCTCTTCTCTCCACATGAATCAACCCAGATCCTGCAATCATCATATACTGTACTGAGAAGCCATTATGTGTTTGGGGGCTCTATTAAAAGAATAAAGAGCAGCATTCTTAATTTCCCCTGCTCGATTTTATAAAGCAGAGGTGACCCCAAAAAGCTCTGACTGATCTTAGAGGAGCTATAGAGGGCTGGGGTTACATTTAGAGCACATGCTTCTCATACACTCTTCTCTAGTAAAGTTTCTAAAAGGTAGGGCCATTCAAGACAACTGACCACCCTTGAGCCATACCAGGATGGTAGCACCAAAGGAAACACTGCCTTTTAAAACACTAGAAGTGTAAACTTTATATTTTACAACTATGCTTATTTACTGTAGACAGTTACTTTAGACCACTTAAGATATTAAGAGCTGTGAATGAAGACAGAACACATGGACGCTCAGAGAATTCAGTAACACAAATTACCTTAAACAAGTATATTACAGATTTACAAAACCAAACCTGAAACAGTAGTTTAAATATTAAGTGCACAAGGATAAAGCCTTTATCTTCCAACCAGCTTCACAAATAAAGATTTGGCATGCTACCTCAGAAATTCTTCAGTTTTTGAGTTCCTATTCCACTGAAGTGTTTCTCAAAAATCCCATACATAATTATGATTTATATAGCACAAAATGCATGCCAAACACTTTACAAAAGATCAACAGATCTCTGCCAGAAGCCACTTAAAATAATTTTTATTTAATAATCCATGTAAAAAGATTTTACAACTTCTTGGAAAACTGCTGAAGGGAACTGGAAAGACTCACCAATGAGTCAATCCCTTATGGAAATTATGCTTCTTGTTCCAGTGCACTAATTCATGTATGTCTACTCAGAAGTCAGTCTCAATGACTTCAACAAGACTTACAAGTGAGTATGTATAGGATTACTGCCTGAGTGATCTGAAGGATGGGGAAATATACCTGTGGAAGCCTGATTTAAAACAAGAAAACCTACCCAATAGAACGAAGGTTAACGCTCAAGCATTCTTCTGAAACAAAGAAGCTTAGGGTAAAGTTTCAAAACGAGCAAATGATTCCTTATAAGAAACAAAAGCAATTTCCAGAAGGGCCGATGAGTTTATCTGAAGGAGATAAATGTGGCACACAAACGTATCACCATTATATAAAAATGCAAAGAAAGAATATGATCAAATGCTTACTACTTACAGGGGAAGAAATACAGGAGGGGAAATTATCAAGGTTTCCACATGCATCATTTGATAGATGGCACAGAATCTTGAAAAACGTATCAGGTTTTCCAAAGTAATAAAAATAAAATGAAGCAAAATTTTAGGTTGTACAGACATTTTTACCCAGAGGCAGGGGTTTTCTGCCTTTGAGACTCCCTCAAATGTTTCTCCTGCTTCCTCTCCCCTGCCCCATACTCTGGCTCCTGGTCTCCCCATTGACTCCCCTCTTCCACCAACCCCAGCATCTGTTTCACATAACCTCACCAATCACTGGCCCCTTCCCCTGGCTCATCCTCCCGTTCCCCTGCCTCCTCTGCCTCTCCCCCCCCCCCCGACTCCTGCCTGCCCCTGACAAAATGCATAAGGCAAAAAGCATAGGCTTTTACAAACTGTGGAACACTTAATGCCCAGAAATGATCTCCATGGATGCTGAAACTTATATCCTGATGAATTAGATATATGCTTTGAGGTGATTCATGTCATTAGCTACATTGATGGAACAGATATTTCTAAGATGTGGGGAAGTTTCATACAATGAAAGCACTGTGTATCATATCCTTGTGGGTAATAGCTTTTGACATGAGGGAGGTTTCCTTGGGGGGGGGGGGGGAGAGACACAGATGTGTATTAAACCATTTCATCCTGGCATATGGGTTATTATTCCTTTTATAAAACATGGTTTCACATTGCTGCATTATGCTTTACTATATTATCTATTGTTTATTAAGTTTCCCCTGGGCCATAAAAAGTATCATTATGATGTATTTTCTTGTGGACACACACAAGATCGTGTCTCTTACTTCTTACACACATAATCATTTTCAGAAGCGTTTGCTCGAATTATTAAATCTTGCTGGAAGATAATGGAATCAAGCTACAGCAAATTTCCTAAATGTTATTATCACATGTGTTGTAATTAAACAGTCTGATTCACAATGCCTTAAAATAAAGTAAAAATGGTGCTTGCGATCCACATTTTATCCTTTGTAAACCGCTTAGAGGTTTCGTTTACAACTAAGTGGTATGAAACTATTGTTAAGTAAACAGTTTTTGCAATCCACTTTTTTATGGGGGCACAATAGCAGTACATGCTTTGTAGCCAATAAAAATTCATTTCCAATTAAGAGTTCACAGAATAAAATTGGTCAAATAAATAATGAGTTAATGAAATGTCTTCTTTTGTGATGGTGACCATCATGTTATTACTAGTAAGATCCACACAAAAGAATGACACGATGGATATTATACAATTACATAAGTTTGTGAATTGAATTAAACTCTCTGTGTACACTGATAACTAATTTTGCTATTAAATGGCTCATTTACCCTGAGTGGTGCAAAACTTTCGAGGATAAGACCCTACTTTGTCAGATGTGTGAAGTGGTTTCCTGAATAGGTATATATACATCCTGACAACAAAGGAAAGAAGAAATTATTTCCCTCCCATCCCCTTGCCAAAGGTCAGAAAGTCAAGCAATTTAAGAGAGTCAGCGGCAGACACATCACAGTACTATGCATACCACAAGTGAACACAAAACCCAATCAGCATGGATATGACCATTGCCAAACAGCAGCCACTGCAGCTGAATTATATAGTAGTGATAAGTTTGTTGATGCAAAAATATTTAAGTCTTAGGGGACATTTAAGCCTGTTCTGGCATAAGCTTTCATGTCCCACTGTCCACCTTTTGGATACACTTATTTGATTATGTTTATAAACCTCATCATATAAATCCCAGATCTTACAATGAACTAGTTAAACCTAAAACCATCATTCAAATCAGTGTTCGAATCTCCTATTGTTCTAGGCACATTTTGTGAAAGGGAATTTCACTGGTGCAGGCAGTTTCTGAGCTCTGGGCGCAGTAGTACACCTAAGATTTCAGATTAAAACTGCACAGTGGAAGGAAAGGAGGACCTTTTTCTGACTCCCCACTTCCAGCTACTCTCTGAAGCCTAGATAAGAGACCCTCTTCAGAATATTACAGGGTGTGCAGGGGAAGGACTAGACCATGTGAAAAATGAACATAATATTTTATTTCAGTAGACAGAAAGGGGTTTTTTTAGGTCCCGAGACACTGGCATATTTATATGTCAATGTTAACACCCTGAAGCAAATTGACAACCAGAAGAGATTCTTTGCAACCCGTGTTACAGAGTCCTACCTAGTTGTGCGACTCAACGATCTGACAGTCACACTCATGCATGAAGTGTTATCCTAAATTGGCAGGTATATAGAAGGAGAGGAAGGAAATGTAAGCAGTGAGGTCAGAGGGAAGTAAAACGCAAAAAGTACAGACTGTGATACTTACATTAAATCTTAAACGTCTGCAAAATAATTACAGCCAGTGCCAAGAATCAGATGCCAGGAATCATGAGCTAAGAGTCAGACACAGTGGAGACTCTTGTTGGCTAGGCAAAGTTCCAGCCTTACATATGGAAGCCTTCATGGTTCTCCCAAGTAGGAGGAGACAACGGCTGGCCTAGTTGGGCACAGTTGCTTAACAGCCTAGAAACAACCATGGAATATCTGGTCCAGGGCCTGCAATGCATGTGCCTTTATGAATTATTACATGATCCACATTCACAAGTCAGTAGTCTTCAAAAATAGAAACCACAGCCTGAGCATGGCAATCCAAGTCAATTTTGTACATGCCTGGTCCAGAAACAGATACAAACTTTAAAAATGTTGTCGTACAAAGGATTTTAAGAAAACAAAGTCCAGCCCAGGAGTATAGCAAAGGCTGATAGCACCAGCCTATGCAAACCACTAGTATGACTTAGTCCAAGGCAGTTTCTTACTGTTTTCCAAGCATGGGGTTTTTTTGTCCTCGCTTTGGTGGAACCGCACCAGTGAAGATTATGTACAAGAACAATAAAAAGTGTCCTAAACAAAATGCAGCACACACTGGGAGGAGCCAAAAGAAACTAGCTTTTCCTTCAGTTATTACAGAAAAAACATATAACACTGGACAATTGATTGTCTGACTTTAAGGAGATAATAGGAGATCTGACTACATTTACTGCTGTCATCTCATGTCAAATGCCAGAAGCAATTAGCTATTTTAAGCCACTTAGCCTGTGAAAAACACAAACCATTGTTAAAATGTTTTTTTTCAAAAACAGCACAGCAAAACCCTCCAGCGGTAAAAACAATAAAATGGCCAGGAAAAGCCCGGTGCATTACCAAGCTGCATGTAGTTTGATGCTACACTCTGAATGTTAAGGCTTCTATTACACAAAATTCCTAAAATGGGTAATCCAAAGAAATGAAAACACTTGTTATGTTCAATGTCTTAGTTACTTGTCTGAGCCATGCTAAAAATGAGTAATTAGTCACTCCACAGTCAAGATAACATGATCTGGGGCACAAGACATCTATGGAACTCTTCCTCATCTTTCATATTTTCACCTCTGTAAGACCTTAAAAGGCCTTTAAAATAAAATAATACTAATAAAGACCTTTGATGATTTTGCACATGAATTCTTCTCATAGTTGCCATGCCTCTTAGATATTGTAGGTGATGACAGTGCCTATTAATACAGCATCACTCGGTTGTACATGAACAAGAGCGTTCAAGGTCTATGTCAGCATTATACACACACAGGGTAACATACACAATAGCAACAAACCAACAGATGTCTTACACATAAGCAACATTAGATTCGTGGGGGGGGGGGGGGAGACTTTTCAACTCCAGGTGGACAAACATGGGAAGTATCAGAAGGATACACAGGGAGGCTAGCCCTTGCACTCAGGCAAACAAGGTTACTGAACTCTGACCAATGATAACAAAAGAATTGGTTAGCCATCAGGCTCCTGTCCGAAAACAAAACAACCGTAACTCCCGCTGGAAAGTAAGGAAGAGAGATTGATTCAGGCTAACAGCAGCGCAGGCTCAGCAGCAAGCACAAGGTCCAGAATCAATATTCCAATGTAAATGAATAAAGCAAGAGGTTCTTAACTGTATGGAAGCTGCAAAGATGTCCTGAGCATGTCCATTCCCTCAAGCTTTTAAAGATGAGCACTCATGAGACTCTTTTGCCCTATGGTTTTGCTGTGTGTGTACATGTCTGTTCCTGCTGGGCAGGTGCATCTCATTCCACTTAGCAAGGTGGCCCGGTTATTGGTGACAAGACTGTGCCAGGGCCCCTCTGCCCACAGCTCTGCTGCCATCTCCTCCTGCTCATCCCTTCCCTCTGGCTGGTCCTCCCCCCTCCTTGGATTCCAGCAAAAGGGGCAGTGGAGAGAGCCAGCAGATCTTCTTCTGTCTTTCTGACATCTAGAGTTACAAAGGGGAGGATCTCCACCCCTGGATGCCAGTCTTCCAGCCCCCAATCTATTCCTTCTCCTTCCTCCTCTTCCATTTGGGCTTGCCAAATGTCAGATACTGGTGGAGTCAAGGGGCTCATGAAATCAACTGACCGGTCAATTTTGTGAAATAATGGTCCAATATTAATAATAATTAATCAATCAATCAATCAATCAATCCATATTATATCAATTAATATCAATGTAAAGTGTTGATTTTACTAGGACAAGAAAAATATAATCAAATGGATCGATATTTGTGCTAATCACAAAAAATGAATGAGCACACTGTTTTGTGAAACTTAGAAATGAAATAAAGTATAACTTGCTAACAATATTAGATAAGGGTTCTATAAATAATAATTCAGTGAACAATTCTCTTTGCCTTTTATCAAGGTTAGCTTGGGGTAACAAATGGAATTAAAATTTCTTTATGAAAGGAACACCCATTATTTAAAACACCAGATCACATGGAGAAAGTACTCTCTGAATTCTACAGCAAACAAGGTAAAAGTCATGGAAAGTCCAAAGCAGTAACTTTTCTGGTAGCAAAATTCCTGAAGTTTTAGCAGATGGTTAGCAAGGTAATTTTTACTGTGCTGCTAGGTTTGCCACCAACTGTTGTAAGAGCTAGGGGGCAATCTCCCCTTACTGGGATCTTAATGAAATAAAGGTAAATTTCCACCTACCATGGTCAAACTATAGGCAATCTGTTGACTATAAATGATCAACAAATTCAGTGGCATGCCAGTTTAGGCTACTAGCATACAATGAATCCAGGATTTAGGTGAACAGTTTGCAAGCAAAGCAAGAAAGTTCCAAGATCCAGGCAAGAAAGTTCCAAGATCCAGACATGCAAGGGTTCAGGAGACAGAGTAACCCAGAGCCAACCCAAATCAACCTGGGAGGCAAAAACAGCAGCCCAACCCAATTAAACCTTTGGAGAGACATCTAGCATCATCTGTTACAGAACCTGCCTGATTTTTCACAGCAGCCAGTTGGTCAACGATCAACACATTTGTTTCACACCTGTTGACCATTGACCAACCGGCTGCTGTGAAAAAATCAGGCAGGTTCCATAACAGATGAATATAGAAATAATTTCCCTCCCACCCGAATATACCATAGCTCCAGAGAGAAAGGCATCACATAGTGGCTGGCAGGCTGCAGACTCACAGGGTGCTGAAGGTTAAAGTGACCCCATAATACCATGTTGAAATGGTTTCGTCATTCTTCATGTTTACAGATACTTAGCCTCCAGCCTGCCCCACCCTGCCCCCAATTTCTGTGAAATAGGGAGCACAGAAGGTGAAATGGCAAGGGTGTGCATAGCAGAAGGGAGATTAGAAATGCTTGCTGCACAATAATTTGTCTATTTTCTGCAGACAAATTACACATTCTCCTTAACATCACTAGAAATGGTACTGGGGTCAACAGAAACCCACAAGCTTACCAAACCCCTTTATAAATCTGAATTATTTACGTATTTTTTTCCAGTTAGGTTGGAAACACTCCCACGCCCATTAGAGTGACCATTTTGCACAATACTTACTAACTGGCTGTTGGGTCATTGTGACTTCAACTGCATCTGTATGTTTACAAGTTACCTGCATGTTCACCTTAGCAAGTTGCCAGACACAGGCTGTGTCTACATTCAGGTCTACAAGGGTCACCGTTTCTGTGTGCACTTTTAATATTATGCCTCCATAATCTATCTTGATATTTCCTATATCCATACTAGCGTGTGGGATTTGATGGGATTCATTTGTGCTGTCTGCTGCCCTCTCCCATCAAGATGTTCTGGAAATCTGAGGACTGTTAAGTGTATGTGTGCAGGTATCTGTTTAGCTGTGTGAGCAACTTTAAAACATTTTGGAGGCTTTGTTTTATTTTATTTTCCAAAGTAGCAGATTTGTATGAAAAAGTAGGATAATAACAACGATAATAATAAAACAGTGCTTTTTCTCTGGGAGGACGCAGGGGTACATATACCCCTAAACATTTTGTGAATCTCTGTACTTTTGCCCATTTACTGTATTTCTTTTTCCCAATTTGCACTATAAAATGGTGATTTCCTTGAGTCAAAATGAGAGTACCCTAAACATTTTATTAGAAAAAAGCACTGATCATAAATATATGTGTTCCAAAAACAGGTGTCCACAAATAATTCGGTATCTGTTTACCTTTTCAGGCATGCCCACAGAGAGAGAGAGAGAGAGAGAGAGAGATCAAATTTGCACAAAAGGTCAGAAAAAAAGTAATTATTGTAAAATGTGTGTGTTGCACCAAGCCAGGGAGCCTGAGGTCCCTTGTGGGCTTACATGGAGGTATCTGCTTACCTGTGCCAGAACACTTTTCTTCTTTATTTCTGAAATACAGGTTTTCTGATACACTAGATCTGCATAAAAGAACAGTAAAAAATAATAATTGTGTGTGTCACTCCAAGCCAGGCAAGGATTTGGCATGAGGCTGTAGCTTCCTTTCCCTCCTGTATCTTCTAGGGCAAATTTTATTTTTAATTTTAATACAGCTGTTTTGTGCAAGAACCCTTTTGCACAAATCAGCTGTTTTAAATATAAAAATACCACAAGTGTGCCTTCAGCAACAACCAGTGGAAAGGGGAAGGCTGCATCCTTCCCTTTGGGCTGATGGAAAGAAAATGGAAGTAGTGGGTGTAGCAACAGACAGCAGCTAGCAGAATGTCACCACACATGTGGAAAAAGAAATCCAGACCACACAATGTGCTTCAGGGCATCCGCAATTGGGCAAGATGCAATTTTATATGGATTTTCTTCAGATTCTTACCAAATCAGGGAAATCTGAATCTGGTGGAGGGCGGGTATGGGCTGCCAACTGGATGAGGAAGATGTTGTGTGGACACCACACACACACAACGCACAAGCGGCTTCAAATCCACAGTGCGGATGAGCCCTTAATGGCAACTATCTGACAAAGACCTTCAACCTGACCCCTTTCCTCTGTTAACAGAAATATTTGCATAGTGCATTATTTTTATTTCTTTAGGTAATTTATATATTGCTTCAAGCTTCAAAGAAATCTCTAAGCAGTTTATAATATTGTAAAATATTACCAGTAATTCACAACACATGATAATTGCACATATATAATTGTTAAGTTGTAAGGGACCACAAGGGTCATTCATTCATTCATTCATTTACAATACCGCCCTATACCCAAAGGTCTCAGGGCAGTTCATATAAAATATCAAAAACATAAAATCAAAACAAAACCAACAACCCAATTAAAAAAACCCCAAAGAGCCAGCATTTTAAAAAAAGGTATAGGGTGTAGATCAGGTCAGGCAAAGGCCTGGTTGAAAAGGAACATTTTTGCCTGGCGCCTAAAGGTGTATAGTGAAGGCACCAAGCAAACTTCCCTAGAGAGAGCATTCCACAGGCGGGGAGCCACTGCAGAGAAGGACCGTTCTCGTGTTGCCACCCTCCTGACCTCTCGTGGAGGAGGCACATAAAGGAGGGCCTCAGAAGATGTTCTCAGGGTCCAGGTAGGTTCATTTGCATGATATAATTGACCCCACTGTTTTTTAAACGCATACACTATTTGTTTTATGTTTTAAAAACATGATCAGTTACATCACACTCACCATACCTGCTGGTGTATGTACACAGTGAGATTGTTGACTGATTATTTTTGTGCAACTATATTGTTTTATTGGAAATGGGAAGTTCTCAATGAAAGCATGATTTATACATTTTTAACATGTAATTGCATGATAACTTCTGCCAGCTATTTTATTTGTATGGCTTCCTTAGGGTGCATTTAGTTTAAAGACTGGACTGATACAGTCAATTATTCTATCAATGGAGGGCTAAATCAACCTGGCAATTTCAATTTATGTACACATTCTGGAATTGCTGGACATTAGCTTCAAAAGCACCAGGGTTTCAGATCAATGAAAATTACTAGCAGAGTCTGGAGTTGTTCAATAAAAAGTTGTTGCTGTTTTTTATCGAGATTATGAAGTCAAACTTATTAATGGAAAGTGCTTTTTATAATTTTAAGATGACTAACCTATTACTCCAGAAATAGCTTTCAATCCACAAAACAGGTTCAGTGGGTAACTAGCAATATTTTATGAGACAATCTTTTTTCAGCTGCGTGAAAACTATGGCTAATACTAGTTCTTCAGCTGGTCCTTGGCATTCGTTCCTTAGCCTCACTACACTCAGAAACCTAACAAAAATATTTCCTAATCTGCTCTACACTTTTTTTTCTATCTTAAACATACATAACCTTAAGGGAAAAAGTAAATCAAAGAATATTCCCTTCAACCCCAAAAGACCACTTGAATGCACAGAAGTGGCAATTGTGGCACCAGGAATCATGAGGGGAGGGCAAAGCAGTCTGCTTCCTGCCACCCACAGCATTCAATTGCCCTGGCCAGTTTACTACACACTTTCAAACCCAGTGCATGTAAGGGTAGATGTACCAGAAATACTATAAGGGAAACTGTAAGAGCACACATTATAATTAAGCCTATGAACACATTATACCTATATTATGCACAGCTATGTGGGAGCAAAGCACTCTCTTTGAATTCACACAATTACTGAGTGGGTACACACAATCCTAGTTTTATTTTCCAGGTACTACAGCATTAGGCAACACAAATAAGTACGTAGGTGGAACACATTTAGGTTCTGCTGATATTTTCACCTGCAATTCAGATCTTTTTCCTATTGAAGAAAGAACAGCTGCACTGAAAATATGCAGGCACATTTGGGAATGGAGCCAAATTCAACACAAAGATGTCACAATGTTTGCAGTAGATTAGCATTTAATATACACAAGGTGATCTGTGCAGAAATATTGAACAGGAACAACGTAGCAAGGCAACAAATATGGTTTTAGGACTAACCAAGACAGAGAACATGCCCCTTTTAATGTCATCAATCCACCATAAAGATGTCTTTAATTTTTTAGCGCCCCAATGCAAACTTTTATTAGCTATTTCCATCTTATGATAAATGCAAGGTAGTTTATAGAAGAGGCAAGAGGAAATTCTTCTTAAGATGGTACTTGCCATCTGCAGTTTTTACAAGTACTTGTACTCAAAATAATAGGCTTTTAAAATGATTTATTAGGAGCACCATTCAGCTGATTAAAAACCCTTCATTTATTTTTTTTAAATAATCAATTAAGCATTGGAGCCCTAACAACAATTTCTTTCAATATAATCAAGAGAGAAGTCTAATTATTTGATAACATGCTGCTATGGAATTGAAGAACTACCGGTACATTTATATCACAAGCCACAAACAATGCAAGAATAAGGTATCCAACTAAAATACATAGAGATCATCAGGTCAAACAAAGAGCACTTTCTGAACAGCCCTGCTAATGAGGATATTTTCATGCCGTGTCCCAATATGAGACAATTAAGACAAGAGTTAACATGCTAAACTAAACCGACTCACATTCCTGAATGAGAAGGAATGAGCCACAATGAGCCTTGAGCTCGTGAGCTCCCCCAGGGTCCTTTCTCACAGCTGAGGAAATGATGTTTTAATTTAAAACAAGCCAATTTCAAACCATGGCTTCTGAGGCTGGCTGGCTTTAAACTAACCATAGTTTGTGTTACCCATAGTTCACAGTTTGGATCACACAGGAAACTGTGGCTAACTAAAAGCAAAAGCTTTCAATTACCTCCTCCCAGCTTTTGTGGGATTATGTGACCCTGAGGCTCGCTGTAGCTACTTCCTGACATGTGTGCACCAATCTTGCACAGTCTACAAACACGCAAGCTAGTATATAGCTACTGACTGTCTATCAGAATATAATATGGCCTTTTCATTTTTTTACAGTCAGCATTTGTTATAAAGTGAAATCTAGGACTGTATGGGAAGAATGAGATGTGCCCATAGACAACAAATTAGTCTCCACTTTTGCAGTACTGTAACTAAGAACAGCAACCCAAATGTCATCAGAAGAGAGCAATTCTGTATGGCACAATTAGAAACACATTCAAAGAAGCTGTTCCAGAAGGCATTAACGTACCATGTGTATTAATAAGATGTTTATTTCTCAGACCCAGCCTACTTTTGTGATTGTAATATGTTTTAACTGTTTTTAATGTTTCAGTTGAAATCATTGTGACTTTAGCGTAAAGAACAGGCTATATAAATCATCATCATCACATTGAAGGTGCTAAGCAATGCTATTCCATTTTTTGAGATTTAGATGTTTACATTGGAATCTGACAAAAATGGCAAAGAACATTTTCTGACCATGATTCTTTAAAGAAAAAAAGCACAAATCAAAATGGATAGGCGTATGACCCAATTAAATAAACCTTGGTTCTATCTGATTATATATTACTAAAGCAATAGTTTTTAAGCAGTAAGGTCAGCTAGTTCCATAAAGTCCATCATCTTCATCTGCCATTCTTCCACAGTTGGTAGTTCTTGCGTTTTCCACTTCTTGGCTAGTAAGATTTGAGCGGCAGTTGTGGCATACAAAAATAATTTAACATCCTTCTTGGGCAATTCCAAACCTGTTATTCCAAAAAGAAAGGCCTCTGGCTTCTTTATAAATGTATATTTCATCATTTTTTTCAATTCATTATAAATCTTTTCCCAGAAGTCTTTCACCTTGGGGCAGGTCCACCACATGACAATACAGGGATCTCAACACATGGTCCCACACCCAATTTGAAACCATACTGGACCCTGCTTAGCTTTGAAAATGTGCCATCAATTATTTTTAATTTTGGCACCACTAGGAGGCTGTGCTAAGAGTGAAATATGTTAATTAGTAATAAAATCTATTAATATTTAATCAATTAAACCATTGATTTAAAAATGGGTTGGAATCAATTTAATATAACCTATTACCCTGATTAAAAGAGGAGAGGCAAGAATCCTGAGCAGCCAACCTGCCGGGGGGGCACCCCAGACACCCCCCCACATATACACAAATACATGCATACACCCATACACAGCACACACAAACATATACACCCACATGCACACACTCACTTAGCTGCGCAGGATCCCTAACAAAGCACCCCTCCCTCTTTTCACTGCTGCTGAGCTATTTTCCAGTCTGCCTGGCATCAGGGTTAGAGAAGATCCACTGGGACAAGGGGTTAACCTTCCCCCTCTCATAATCCTTCCCTTAGTTGAGCAGGATGCAGCTAAACAGTGCCAAAGAATGTGCTGCCCATCTTGGAACCACTGCTTCATGGTATTCCAAGTGCCTTGAGGTAGTGGCTCCCAAGTAAGGAGAGTTACCTTGCTCCTTGCCTTTTTCAGTCAGGGTGGGTGGGAGCAAGGAAAAGTTTGGGGAGTTGCTGCTTCAAGGCTCCCCACACCTTGAGGCCAGTTCCAGCTTTCCTTGCCTTTACCTGCAGCACTAGTGGCAACACGCCTCTGAATACCAATCGCTGGCGATCGGGACGAGGAGAGTGCGAGAATGCTTGTATTCTGCACTGGGGTTTCCCACTAAATGCTGAAGTACGGTATGCTTTGGTCTAATTCAGCAGGATTCTTCTTATGCTCTTGCAGGAAAGGCAAGGGATAAGGAAAGCCTTTGAGAACTGCTGCTTTGAGCAGTAGCTAAAGGACAAGTTGGGGATCGTACTGCAATTTTAACTAAAAGCAGTCACAGTGGCTCTGAATTAGATCAGTACAGAGGGGCTGGGGGGAGATGGATTTAATCTTTCTCCCATGCCATTTCCCTAAATTCCCATCCACCTCCAGCTGCAGTCCCCAAAAGACCCTCCATGTACCTTCTGAGTGAAATGGCCAGACACACTTCTGATCAAAACACGTTTCAGTGCATGGGCACAGCCACAAAGAAGACACTAATCTGTGGTTTTGCAGACTTCCCACGGCAAAAGAAAAATGCCTTCCCTACAGATTTAAGGGAATGAGGTGCTCTCAAATGGGTGGTAGGCTCTAGATCTTTAAGAGATTTAAAGATACTGTAATCATGAGTACATTGAATTTGGGCTGGAAGCAGGGTCGGGTCCATCCATGAGACAAAGTGAGCCGACAGCCTCAGGTGGCAGGACCCACAAGGACAGCAGATCTGGCCTTTACAGAGGCCTCTTGGCAAATAGGAGGTGCTGCTATTCTCCTTTCACTGTTGTTCCCTCTTTAGATCTTTATTCGCATCTGGTTCCTGATGTAGAACTTCACTTATATCATCTTCCCTGACTTGGGGAGGGGGCGCAAATTTTTGTGGCTCACCTCAGGTGCCAAAATGTCTTGGGATAGCCTTTAATGGAAGCATATATTATAGATAGTCATTGCAGTTGGGTCACAAGAGAAGTCTTGATGTTCCTTGAGGCAGGTCTGAACTTGCTGAAAGGTAGCATTCTGCACTAGGTGCAGCCTCCAAACATTATTCAATGGCATCCCCGTGTGCAACTGACATTACAGGAGTCAATATGTGGTGTTACCAAAGAAGGTATGGCTGGGATCAGGTCCCTGTTAGAGAGAAATGACAGCTCAGGATACCATGGACAATTCAGGAGAAAAGTGTGGCACAGGAAACCCTTCTATGCAACTTCAAGGGAAGTATAACCTTGCCCAGGCAAGCAAAAAACTACAAACCTCCAGAGCTACACTGTCCTACCAACATAACCTGTTTTGTCCCAATTAGGCTTCAATTTCATCCCTCACTGATTCCGTATCATCTTCTAGCATTCATTCCAAGACCAACTATACCTCCAGAATTTAACAAGAGTGAAAAAATGTAAGTGGGTGTCATCTACATGATGTCCCTAGATGTTCACAAACAAAATAGAAATATGAAGAAGTGAAGAGCAGTACTCTCTATCTAAAACCAGAATGACATTCACACGAACATTTTCAAGTACTTCTGAATAGCATTTCAATTTCCACTTGTTTCCCTGAATCCCCACCCGCATCTGCTCTGAAGGGTCCACCAAGTATCTGGAGTGTATCTGAGGGGCACAGTGAGAGCTGAAGGAGGGAGGAACCTTTTTTTTTTGTCTGTTCCACTGATGGACAGATACAGAATTTCACCCTTTCATTTTTATTCTGGAGCAGACTTGACACAAACCCTTTTAAAAAAATGTGACCTTTAAAGCCATGACCTTTCACCACTGTATCTTGCAGAGATGCTTGCAGTTATAGCATGTGGCTTCTAGAAGCTATACTATACTACTCAGCATGGCCTCAACTAATGCAAGGCTAGGAGACAAACAGAACTCGCTCCTGTTATTGCAGACAAAAGACAGTATAATTAAATAAGAAAGGTTGACAGTGGGGAAATAGGCAACTGATTGACTTACATGCCAACCCTAGAATCAAGTTCTTTGTTTTAATTCCTATATATCCTTCTGTGAAGAATTTACAGCTGTCATGAACCATATCTAACAAAAGGGGATGGGGAGGGCACATCCACACAAATATTCAAATGGAAAGAAAGTTGTAGTTGAAATGTGTAATATCACTATCCAAGCATTCGCTCTGAATTCCTTCAAGTCTCTCCTGTTATGACACATGCTTAGGCATTGTAGTAACCAAACAATTTTAAATAAATATAAATTCAAATCAATAGCACTTCCATCTAAGCTACAATTTTGAGGTTCTTTCCTACAATGAGAGACTATATTTAAAATGTAGAACTAAAAGCAACATAGAAAAGCAATAAAAAGCACCTGATGAAAGGAAACAGCAGCAAATCAGAGCTCATTAGTTGCTGAAAACATAGGCTGGTAAAAATATACCAGCAAAACTCAAAAGCTGCAAGGGAGAGATGAGACAAATATTGGATACACACATACTTTTTTCTGAAAAATGAATCCCCAGAGACAAATTATCCCAGTCCTCCAGGAGGGTGGAGAAGAGAACAAACTTTAGCTCATTAGTTCACAACTTGGTAACATTTTCTTTTAGAATCTATTCTGGTTTTGCTGGTTATTCTAGTTATGCTCCGTATCCCAAGTCCTGGGGCAAGCTAGAAGTTCAAATAATAATCAAGTACCATTACCTTATCCCAAGCCTAATGGCATCCAACACATTCCTTTGGAAGCACAACTCCCAAGATTGTACTAATGGGGCATCAGGTTTTTTTTAAAAAAACAAACAAACCTCAAGGAGAACAGAAGATGGAAAGCACTCTTTCATCTTCCCTATGAAAAAACTTAAAGAACATGTGCCTATCTCCACAAATGGCTGGGCCAGAAGAGATGGAAAACTCACTCAAAGTCTCATGAAATCATAGCAAGCCATTATTATGCTTACTCTGTGGCAGTGATGAAGGTGAATAAGCACTTATTCTCTGCTACCATTGTGTCCTCAAAGTGCTGGGGGGGGCAGCATACAGAACATGCTGTATGTTCCTTACCTAGTTTGCTACTTCTCCCACAACCAACCCTCCTCTTACACAGAACAACTGCAATTGGGGCTCTTCCTGCTCTCCCCTGCAAGCCAAGACCAACACAGCTGTCAGTCAGAGCAGCAGGGGCAGGCTCTTTCGTGCCAGCAGCGTAAAGCTGGTGTTCTCAGGCAAGAAGAAAAAAGATAGGGAGACCGACAGCAAGCAAAGCAGGACAGAGTAAACAGTTCACTTGTGGCTACAACAGCTGAATCCAGTCCAATAAGCCGCTACACACACACACACACACACACACACACCCCAGTTGTAGCTGTATAGGTCTGGAAATTATTATCATAACTGAACTACATCAGCTGCACTGGCTTTTGGGCCATTTGTGGACTCAGTTCAAAGTGCGGTGTTGATCTTTAAACCCCTTTACAGCTTGGGACCAGGGTACGTGAAAGATCATCTATCTCCACATGTGGTTGTCCATCTTCAATGGAGGCGCTACTCCAGGTTCCCACCTCATCAGAGGAGATGGGTAGCTACCAGGGATAGGGTCTTCTTGTGGCAACAAGCTGGATGCTGTCCCCAGGGAGGCTGCCCCCATGCTTACTTCAATGTAATTTTTGCACCAGCCAAATATCCCCCCCCTCCAAACCTTTAATTTAATCAAGTTTTATCTCAGATTGTCCTACTACTTTACAGATGTTGATGCTTCTAGTGGTGTGTTTAATGGTTTTATTCTGCTTTTGATTTCTGTGTTGTAATCCCCCTTGGGAATTATTTTAAATGTGAAGTACAAATTCTTATATTAAGTAAGTACAGCTGCATTGCAACTCCACTAACCCCATTAGAATTCAATAGGACTTCTGAGTAGACGTGGTTAGGATTGCATTGTAAGAAAGGAAAATGTCTAATCTAAAACATTTATGAAAATATCAATTTTATATAGAGTCAGGCCACTGGTTAGTCTAGGCCAGGCCTGTACAGCACACTCAAACTGGCAGCAACCCTTTAAAGTCTTTACAAGGCCTATTGCAAGACATCCTTTCTAAGCATGTGTTTCACCAGTGAGCAATATCTCCTCTCTTGCACTTTCTCTACGAACTCTAACCCCATACATGTTTCTTTTTCTCAGTAACCTCACGCACCCACTGAAACCCAATCAGATTCCCTACACACCTGATTGTTGTTTTCTCTTAGTTCTCTTACCTGGTGCTCAACACACCTAAAATATTTGAGGGAGTGCCTCTCCCTATATGTGCATGTCCAATAACTGGCCATCCTCCAGCGGGTCCAGCGCTGCTGGAAAAAACAGCACGGGGTATAGTTCAGGGAGGGCATCCTCCTTGCCTGGATTCTCGTTGCTGGATTTAGGGCAGTGTGGGAGGTTCTCTTGCACAGTAGCTGAGCCAAGGGGGTGCATAACAACAACAACAACAACAACAACAACAGTGGTACATTGAGTTACAAATGCCTCAGGTTACAAACTTCGCTAACCTGGAAGAGTTACCTCGAGTTGAGAACTCTGCCCCAGGATGAGAACGAAAATCGTGTGCCGACGGCGCAGCGGCAGCAAGAGGCCCCCATTAACGAAAGCACGCCTCTAGTTAAGAACAGTTTCAGGTTAAGAACGGACATCCAGAACAAATTAAGTTCGTAACTAGAGGTACCACTGTAATAAACCCAGTGCTCTTTTTTTTCCCAGAAAAAGAGGTGCCGGAACTCACCTTGTTCTCCGATAATGGCAATGGCGCCCACCTGAGAGGTGCCGGAACTGAGTTCCGGTGACTTCTGGCTGAAAAAAATCCCCAAATAAACCTATACAGGTACTGATACAGGTACCTACTGAACGTTTAAGATATTTGGAGGGTGGGCAATTTTGTCCTCGCTCCAGGAGCCATATTACCCAAATATGGGTATTCCTCCTCACAACAAGCCTGTGAAAGGACACTTTTATCTGACCGCTTTACATCCAATGAACCTCAACTGGGATTTGCTTCTGTTATATTCCCCTCCCCTTTTAGAGGGGGTGAGGGTTCTGTACTCCAACCTGTTGTGGGTTATTGTGGGTACAGTATTATTTATTTCCCCCTCTCTTTCTATAGGATTCGTTTGTAACTGAGAATCAATTAAACCCTCTCTCTATGTACAGTATATATAGAAGGTGTCCCTTTGCTCAAGATACAAAGCCCTAAGCAGCTTGAGACCAAGACGCCTAAAAAGATAACCTATTGATCTGTTCCAATTCCCCAGTGCTGTCCATAGACTTGGGCTGCAGCCCAACGAGTCTGGCTACGGATATATCTATAGCAATAAATAATTATTATTAATAATAATAAAACAAGCCTGCGAGGTACTGCGAGGTAGCTTAGGCTGAGCCACCGAGGCTCCCCACAAGGTCACCCCGTCAGCTTCGGGGCCGAGCAGGGGATTTGAACGGGGCTCTCTCTCCCTCTCCCGACATTGGAAGCCGATACGCCACGCCGACCCGAGAGGGGACACGGGGGCAGAAACACGGGCGCAGGGGAAGAACGTGAGAACCACCAACCCGGGCGCCCGGCGAAACCATCCCGTTCCGTCTACCCTCACACCGAGCCGGGACTCCTTCCCTTCTCGCGGCCTCCTCGGCAACCCACGCTCGCTCGGCTCCCCCTCAGAGCTTAAGACAAATCCCGGCTGGTATTATTTGCGCCGGCCCCGCCGCCGCCGCTCCCCTCACCTGCGGCGGAGAAGACGACGACACCGGGCAGCAGCAGCAGCTGGAGCCGCCGGAACTGCCCGCTCGCCGGCCTCGCTAGGTTCGGCCCACGGGCCGGGCCGCTTCGGGCCGCTGCTCGGGTCCCTCAGGCCGCGCGCCGAGACCGCGGCTGCCGCTGCGCTCCGCCGCCATCTTCCACTCGGGCGGGTGGGAGGGAACAAGGCAGGCCAGGCCGCGGAGGAGGAGGAGGAGGAGGAGGAGACGACGGAGACCCCCGCCCGCCCGCCTTCCCGGTCCCGCCTCCGCTCGGAAGCCGCCGCGAAGGGGCGAGGAATCCCCGGCCGGCGGCCTGGCGGCTCAAGCGGGAAGCCGGCGGAGGGAGATAGCGCCTCCTCACCCTCCACAGAGCCTCGTCAGGAATAATATTTTTTTAAGAAAAGGGAGTTGTGAAAAGGCATCGACTCCCCCCCCCCCGCAAAGCTTTTTTTCTTTCTTTTTGGGGGGTATTACTATCAAGGTACTATTTTATTTAAAAAAAACTACACACGCACATATATGTAGTTGACATCTGGGATAGCTCAGTCGGTAGAGCGCTTGACTCTGACATCGGAGGGTTTTGTGGGTTCGAGCCCCAGGTTCAGTAAAAGATTCCTTGCTGTTGCCAAGGGGTTTAGACTTCAGATACGACCCTGCAACTTTTAGCACTGCTATGCTATGATCTCGGGAGACTATGGAGGAGCACGCCTTTGGGGGATGGAGTCAAACTGTTGGGAGAGTTGAAATATATCTATGCGTGTGTTTTCATCCTTTTAAAGGTAAAGGGGACCCTGACCATTAGGTCCAGTCGTGACCGACTCTGGGGTTGCGGCACTCATCTCGCTTTATTGGCCGAGGGAGCCGTCGTACAGCTTCTGGGTCATGTGGCCAGCATGACTAAGCCACTTCTGGCGAACCAGAGCAGCTCATGGAAACACCGTTTACCTTCCCGCTGGAGCGGTACCTATTTATCTACTTGTACTTTGACATGCTTTCGAACTGCTAGGTTGGCAGGAGCAGGGACCGAGCAACGGGAGCTCACCCCGTTGTGGGGATTCGAACCGCCGACCTTCTGATTGGCAAGTCCTAGGCTCTGTGGTTTAACCCACAGCGCCACCCGCATCCCTTTCATCCTTTTATGTCCCCCTAAATACTGTTGCAGATCTGGGGTAACGAGCCAGGGCAGAGGCACAGAGATGGCGCTTAGGATACCCCCTCTTGCAATGCTGAACTGCGAAGAACAAGCCCCTCTTGAGACGGGAATGCTGCCGCCTCTGCACTTAGGTCGTGAATATGTGAACCACGTTTGTTAATATGTGTTAATAAACCCCACACGACAGTAGGGTGTGAGACGAGTTTTTGCAATTTCCTTCGACGAGGCATCTTAAGAATATGTTTCCCACTGTGAGGAATTCAAATGGGCTATGATGTTTTGTGACTGGACGTTTAGCTTGGTATGCCTGCGTTTGATGAAGAAGCACATAAACTGTTCTTGGGAAATCGAGGGGTTTTTAATTTTACCTTCTGAGTATGTCAGGTAATGTTTAATAAGGAGGCTGGAGGTGGTACAACAGGATGTAGGGCGGGTTGCTGATTGCATTTTTGTGTGAATGTTTTCTGCCTCAAAGAATGAAATCTCTCTTTGCAAGTAGAAAATTAGCACAGCAGGGGTGGAGCTGGTCTATAAACGTTCTGGCTGTGTGTGCGCGCGCGTTTTCTTATTCTACAATCTTTTTAAAAAATGCACCCTCCTCACTTGCAGTGAAATGATGCTCTCCATTCTACCATCCTTTCTTGGACGTTTTTGAGCAGCAATTGGATGGCCATGCATGATCTAGCTAAGATTCCTGCATTGCAGGGGGTTCGACTAGATGACCCTTGTAAGTAGAAAAAACTAGCACAAGATTAACTCATGAAGGGAGCATCGCACTCATGCTCTTATTCCTGCGCCCGGCAAGCTTCCTAGCCTTGCAAAGGAAAAGCCTATTCCCAATCTGGTGTTCCAATAGCATGGAAGCCCATATACAGGAGCTTTTTCTTTGCAAGCCATGCTAACCTGCTAATGTATGACTGTTTAGACGCAGGGCAGGCAGCATACGGTAAGTGTACAGGGGCAGGACGACAAATTTTCTCTTCCAGCGTAGGCACTCCAAAGCCCAAACCACTCCAAAGCCCAAAGCACTTTGGGAAAGGGTTGGTTGTAAACCTGTTTTGGTTGACCTCTGGGCACATGTAAATTAAGGTAACTGTCTGCTTGATTTGGTTTTAGGTAGATTGAAGTGGTCTTGTCTATGGTTTAGTTAATTATCATAAAACCCACCAGTGTCTGCTTGCCAGGGATGACTATATTTGTCTGAATTGAGCTGCATTTCTGCAATTGGCCAACGCCAGGTTTTATTTAGAGCAGAAGGTTGTGGCTTTCAGAGGTGTGCCTTGGTATAAAAACTTGGCCACAAGAACAGTGGAAAAGAAAATGTGACAACTTGTTGAGGTCATGATTATACATTGGGTAGTGACACCGCCACAGATGTGAATTACAGAGTTCAATAAAAACACCGTTTTCAGCTTTTAGTTCAGAGGAACAGAAGAAGCAGACATAAGACACCAGGAAAACTTCAAGGGATGGATGACAGCAACTATTTCATTCAGCAGGCAGCAGCACTTTAGGTGTTAAAATGATTTATTGTAGTAAGTCAGCCAGCAGCAGCCTTGCTCATCAGACTCAAAGTTCAGACGACTGTATGAGACACTAGGAGTATTTCAGGTTCTAACTGGATGTGAGGCATCTGAGGTGGTACAAACAGGTCAGTGTGGCTGGCTGTGAGCCAGAAGGTTGGTGGTTCAAGCCCACCAAGAGTGAGCTGTGAGTAGGATTCCTGTATTTGATGGGGTTGATCCTTTGGGTCCCTTCCAATTTACAATTCTGTGATTCTGTACACATCAGAAATACGTGAGCCACAGCTCGCTACTGAACCTAGAACCAGTTTGATGAAGGGTGTTATTAAAACTATTTAAAATAAGTATTCATAAAGCAGTGGGGGGGGGGGTAGAATCATACAGAGAAAGGATTGGGGGGCAAATAATAAATTTAAAGAGTGCAGGAAGGTTGTACTCCCTTCAGTTTTTCAGTCCATATCTCATGACCACCTCAGTCTCTTGCTGCTATGAAGTGAGGAGGAGGTGCCATAAGAAATTCTCCTAAATCACACCGACCTTTTCCAATTTCACTGCAAATGTAAATCCATATCGTATATAGACTAAATCTTGGATTTATTCAAGCCTAGGCCAAATTGAACTGAACCTTGAAATCTTGCTTTTCCCTGCTATACTGAAACATGGAATGACACTCCTGTTCTGGAGTGGGATATATGAAATGCTTTTGGGTAAAGAAGATTGTATTCTATAGTAATCCTTCAGCAACCTTGTAGCATGAGGGGATTCAGTGGCTGAGCATTTATGGGTACCTCCGAGTGAAAACCTGATAGTGTTAACCTAAAAACATATCGTTACCTCTCGGTGGTGCAGATCATTGATAGCCCTGCCATGTCACATAAGGAGAACACAGAACAAGAAAAGGTTTGTGCCAGGTCAGGCAGCCAATGAATAGCTTAGGTGAGAAAGGCGAGGTTTCCATGGCAACTCTGTAATCAGAACTCCAGTTTTCAGTACAGGTCAAGGCTGCCTTTTAAAAAAATGAAAGGTGCAGTGGGAAGGGAACATGTTTAAATGGGCAACAGTTCACAACCCTAACTGGCTTGTAAGCAGGATTCCAATACTGTATTCATCAAGGATGAAGAAAGTTTGGGGGTCTTATCCCTCCCCCTGCACATCACTGCCTGTATTACACAGCACTTTTCACTTCTAAATGCACTGGCCCACTGGGGTTACTTAAACGCAATGAATTTCCTGCATTGATGTGTGTTTCAAATAGCAAGAGTATACCAATGCAAAGTAGTAGAAATTGTACTCCCAGGAAAACGTTATAGGATTGCAATCAAAGTATATTTGAAATAGGAATTAGGAGAAGCAGAAAAAGATAAGGAAGTACATGAGAAACTCCATTTTTGAGCTGTTTGATTTTGAATAAGCTAGTGTTATATGGTAGCATATTTGTTCCTATATAAACTAATTGATGCTATGCATTTTATGAAGTTTAGAAGGCATTCTTTTTAACTGTGTGGTAACCATTTATCAGACCTGTGTGGCAACAATTTATTCGAACAAACTGAATGAAAATAAAAGATATGCTATTGATTACTTATAAGGTTTTGATAGCAATGGGTGTGAGGAAAACTTCTTATTGTCTCATATGTAATGTGGACTTAAAATAACAAGAGGATAGTGTGGGCAAATAGGATGGAAATTTCAGCATGCATTAGCACTGGAATTGTTACACAATATGCGTCTGGTCATATTTGGTGCCAGGAAGATTAAAACTAAGTTATACAGATATGCCAACAAAGGGGGAAATGAGTGGGAAAGAGAAAGGGGGGGGAATGGGGTGCTCGACTCACTTTGGCTCTGCCTCCACCCACCACCAGCATACAGCCCTTGACAGAAAAAAGTTGCCCAAGTCTGTAGACCACTGGCTGGTTTCTGGAGAACCATCTAGTTCCCCGCTTGTTGCAGGGATGCTTAAGAGATGGGCTTTGATATGAATGAGCAAGGTACTTGCCTTCTTTAGGTAAAGGTAAAGGGACCCCTGACCATTAGGTCCAGTCGTGACCGACTCTGGGGATGCGGCGCTCATCTCGCCTTATTGGCCAAGGGAGCCGACGTACAGCTTCCAGGTCATGTGGCCAGCATGACTAAGCCGCTTCTGGCGAACCAGAGCAGCGCACGGAAACGCCGTTTACCTTCCTGCCGGAGCGGTACCTATTTATCTACTTGCACTTTGACGTGCTTTTGAACTGCTAGGTTGGTAGGAGCAGGGGCCAAGCAACGGGAGCTCACCCCGTCGCGGGGATTCGAACCACCGACCTTCTGATCGGCAAGCCCTAGGCTGGTTTAACCCACAGTGCCACCCGCGTCCCTTGCCTTCTTTAGCGAGTAGAAATATTCAGGAGTACATTAATAAAGATGAGTTATGTCTTAAACTCTTAGGATCCTGAGTACATCCTCCTTGCTTTCTAAATTTAATTAATATCAATAGACCACAGGGATTCTAAAAAAAACCCAATAAATCCATCAACCAAAAAGTACATAATGAAAGACTGAAGTGGTACAAAAACAACAGACTGTGACCTGCAGAATTGGGTCTCCTCTTTGAATGCTTTAGATACATACACATCTAAACTCATTGCAATGTGTCGTCTCCCCGCCCCCCCCCAGCAAATGAGCATGACTGAGATCCAATTCAGTGTAGTAAATAGTGTGTTGGACTTGTCCCAGGGAATTTCAGATTCAAATTGCCACTCAGGCATGAAGCTAACTAGTGTGCTCTCGACCTAGCCTTCCACACAAGGAGGCTGTCGGAATGAAATGAGAAACCCCTATGTATCGTGCTGCAAGAGCTTTGGAGGCATAGGGTACAAAACTGATGGCACAAAGCCCACTTTGAGTGTGCAGTCTTTGTTCCAATATGCCTCATATTCCGTGGCTCAGGAAAGGAAAGCCTTCTGCGTACATCGCAAAAGCTTCAGTTTGCCAGCTACTAAAACAAGAAAAGAGTCGTTTATACAATATGACAATGCAACTAAAAATGAGTAGAGAAACAGCAGAAAACAGGTGTGTGGCCCATTTTCTAACATCCTCCGCATCTAGGTTCCTAAAAGGTTGTTTGGAAACCACGAGTTCTGTGACTCAATATCATCATACATAAACCAGACCAAGAAATGCATTTTCTTCTTATCTGCCATGCATGAAAAATTCATGTATTCATCACCCTTCCTAATGCACAGCATTGCACATCAATTTAATGGAGGGGAAGAAGCTTTTAAGTCCATTTCATAATAGCTTGCTGGATCAGACCAAAGGCCCATCTAGTTGAGCGCTGTGTTCTCTCAACGGTCAATCCCAGCTGCCCGCAGAAAGCCTGCAAGCAGCACTCTCTGCACCGGCTGTTCCCAACAACTTGTATTCCGAGGCACAGTGGAGATAGAAGATTCACTATTGTGGCTAATAGCCATTGCTCTGAAACATTTCTGCAGTCAAATCTTTTCCATTACCATTCCAAAGCTATTTTCATTCTAAAATTATCTAGATTTGAGAACCTTTTGGCTAAGAAGTTTTTATTTTGGGGTAAAAACTGTTATGCTGTTACTTGCTTTGTCTAAAGTAACCTAGACAGACAAACGAAAGTCACTCACTTTTGGATTTGAATGGTATTCCTTGACCCCCCTCTGCACTTTATTTAGCTAAAATGAACTAAATAAGATCCTTAGATGTCAAAGGCAACATCTGCTATTATTTTCTGCAGCCACAACATCCTCCCTGCTCTCCTTTGTTGATTCAAGTTTATACAATCCTGACATAGAACACTCAGAGGCTTCATTCATTCATTTTTTTTCTGTTAGAATTCCATCTTATTAGTTCTGAACTAATTCTACAAATTAATCTACTCTGAATACTTCTGGATTAATGGAGATAATCTCATGAAACGTATTACACCCAGAACAGAAGCAAAAGGCCTGAGGATTTCAGCAGTCTGGGCAGTGGTCGCATACTTGGCTTCCTGGAAAATCATCGTTAATAAATGCTCCCCCCGCCCCGAAGAACAGGCTTCATTCAGTGCAATGTTGTTTAATAAGCACAAAATTATTAGCATTTACTACTAATACTTCATTAGCAAGCCCGGAGTTCCATTTTATATATGCACTATGCAATGGATTACAGTTCAGTACACATAAACTGGAAGGGTTACCCTCAATGCAGGAAATCCGCATAGGAAATCTAGGCCCATGACAGCTTCTTCCTCTCTCTCTCTTTTTAAAAAAAGACTTGATAACAGTCTCCATTGGTATTAAATGCAGCATTTCTGGTGACAACTGCTGCACTCAAGATGGTTAGCGCAATCTAGTGGAAGGTGTTATCATCTATGCGAAAGTACCTTATGACCAAAGATACAGAACAATTATGAACCTCATTTCAATTCAACTGCTTTTTCCGGCAACCTTAATTTTTCAATTTTTCTGGCAAGTTAAACATGTTGCCATATACAAACCTTGGACATATCGTCCTAAAGACCTAGGTTGTAGTTCTCAGTATTTTCTTCAGGAAGAAATGCATATAGTTTACACCAAATAATGTTGAGATCACAAAAGTTCCATGTCTCCTCTTAACTGAGGGACACTTGGAACTACCACAATAGCAGGCTCAGCTTATATATGATTACCTTGGTATTGGGTGAAAATATTGTTATTATAAACTTTATGATCCACCTTGAGTCTTTGGGATAGAAGCAAGTACAGTGGTACCTCGGGTTAAGAACTTAATTCGTTCCGGAGGTCCGTTCTTAACCTGAAATTGTTCTTAACCTGAGATACCACTTTAGCTAATGGGGCCTCCCGCTGCCACCGCGGCGCGATTTCTGTTCTCACCCTGAAGTAAAGTTCTTAGCCCGAGGTACTACTTCTGGGTTAGCGGAGTCTGTAACCTGAAGCGTTTGCAACCCAAAGCGTTTGTAACCTGAGGTACCACTGTACCAACAAGCAGAGGTTTAAACACCTGTCCCACTAATGAATTGACAAACACACCCACCGTTCTTTTCAAACAGTTGTTAAGATAATAGCGTATGAAGGTGAAACAGAATAGCCATTTTGCAAGCAATAAGTCAAGTAGGTTTGGGTGAACAAAAAAGGAAAAAAGTGCATGGTAGTCCAACACAAGTTCATTCAACTCAGTGGGTGCTCAGGTGAAGAACAAGAGGACATGTTCTTGTCTTCCAAATGTACCTTTACAACCAGTAATGAGGCCTCTTCTTCTGTATTCTAACAAAGCAGTCCTGGCAAGCAACAATTCTGAATAGAGGAATATCAGATAAAATTGATGCTTAACCATTTCCCCCAGAGGTAGTGTCAGTGGTTGGCATATTCAGGCAGATGAAGAGGCCCTGGAGTGCCCCAATGCTGACTCCTGATCTGCTCCTGAGCAGGTGAGTCAGTGGTGGGATGAACAGCCCCCCATGGTGTTTTCACCTGTTCTTTCCCTCTGCGCTGAATTCGTACAACAGCCCAAAAGACGACAGGAGAAGAATGAGCAAGTGATGGCTGTTCCTTGCTACTACTGTCATCTACTCACATTCTTGTCTCTATGGAAGAGTTAGCAGGTGGCAGAAAGGAGGAGTCCTGGCCACCTGTCCATTCTCTTGGCGAGGGACCACACTGTGCTGAGGAACACAGGAATAGAATGATGCATCAGCTACATGGCACATCTAACATCCTGTTCTCACAGTCTAGCATTCTTTTCTCACAGTGGGCAGCCAGTAGCCTGGGGAAAACATACAAGCTTGATCTGAGTGCAAGAGCATTCTGCTCACCTGTGATTTCTAGTATGGGTGGCCATCACTGCCTCCTGTGAAAGATAGGGCTAT